TTCCCAAATTAGAAAAACTGTGGCACAAATTTCATTCCAGCTTCTTTCTCATAGTTTATGTACGAGATCCCACATCGGTTGGAGAAGACATTTATAATCCTGAGGAGAAATCCAAAAGATAGTCCAAAAAGGACAATACCTGCTAACGGTGCGTAGGCTTGAATTGTTACAAATTGTGAGATCCTATATCAGTTGAAGAGGGGAATGAAGCATTCTTTCTAAAGGTTTGGAAACCTATCTAACCAAGGCACTTTAAAATCTTGAGAGGAAGTCCGAAAGAAAAAATCCAAAAATAACAATATCTACCAACACCGACAGTGAACGTCACTTGGGCTGTTACACTATGTTTCTTACCTACCGTCATTCATTTCCATCACAGGTCGGCTCAAAATTCTCTTATTCACCAAGCATGCATGCAAGGCAAAAAATTAATAGATAATTACATAAATTAAGCCAAAAAAAAGACGTGAAGACAACTCAATAGCAACAAATAACATTAAACCAACATCTATCTGTTACTCTAAATTCAATTCTTGCACTCTCATACCAATCTTCTGCAGTGTTCCTTCAATGGCTATATCAACTGCATCTTTCTTTGTTCTTAAACCCAATGAACTTCCATGCTTTCTATACATCACTTTAGGAATCAACTCGATCACCTTCTCCCTCATCCTTCTGATCCTCGCTCTAGGAATCCCCATCAACACATCCAAAATCTTCACCCCTTTGAACACCACATCTTCTTTGGGTATTGTCACTGTGGATTCCGCAAACTCTTTGTCTGGTAAGTGCCATTTGTATTGGGATTTCCCTGAGAGATCCTCGAAGAACACCGGTATGCACCCAGCAAGGATCCCGTCGAAAGTCGACCTCCGTGTCGGGGTATCCCCCGGTGGCTGCAAGCAGAAGGTTGCCTGCAACATTGGCCTTAAGTACCTAACAGGGTCATGCTCACATATTCCATTAGAGCAATCCACAACTTCACACAAGTTCGAATATGGACTACCATCCCTATTGCGGCCATTGCCAGAGTTGCTAATGTAGTCGCCATCGGTGCTGTTTTTGCATTCGTCCCGGATGCTCCGACGGATATTAGGAGTTGTCGAGATGCCGCCCCCACCAGCAAACAGCATCAAAGTAGAGCGTTTAGATCTCTTAACTCTCTGCAACCAAGACTCCAAGAATGCGATATTGGGCGGGTGGAATGAAGTGGGATAAGGAATTGCTTGCTCCTGCCACGGCCAAGCTCTGCCCTCGAGTGTTAACGCAGTGACATTAAAAAACTCAGGCAATTCCAAGAACGAAGTGCCCCAAATCGGGGGATCGTTCTCCAATGGCTGAGAGAAATCCCAGGCCGGCCTCGCCATGACCAAGAAATGGTCATGGCCTCCACGGCGGTTCCAAATTTCCGGCTGGTTATGATGAAGGAAGTCGAAAAGTTCGAGACCGTGCTCAGCACTGGAGTTAACTTCAGGGCCGTAGAGGTACTTCAGGGCATCAATGGAGGCATAATAGGGAAGATAAATAGCATTAGCAGAATCGGGATCGGAGGTTAAACAAGGATATTCAAGCATTCGGCGATGGAAAATCAATTCAAGCATTGAAGGATCTGTCCTATACCAACTATGAGATCGATTGTGAGTCTTCTGACCGAGGCCGTGATTTGCCAAATAAGGGCAAAATTCATCGAAAATAGGGTATTCAGAACAATTGGAAAGGAGATCGAGATTGAATCGAGAAGGGAGGTTTCTGATGTGAATCCAACGACCATTACAGTCTTTTGGAACAATTTCACCACGCGAAATCTGCTGGGCGAATCTCAATTCGATGAAAATGGTAAACAGAAAGAAAAAGAAGAACAAATTGGGATTTGATTTGCAGGCCATGATTATATTATCAAAAGAATTTATGGATTAAAATGAGTGTATTAGCCTCTGTATGATGTATTCGAATACAAAGAGATGGTTTACCTCGGAATTTTGCTGAGAGGGTAGGGATGAAGCCGATCCGCCATTGTCGGTGGTGAATCTCTCTCTCTGTTTCACCCAATCAGCCGGACTGCCTTCTCTCTCGTTTTTCTTTCTCCCAGCCGATTTTGTGCCAATGGTAACATTATATTACATTTTTATTTATATTTTTTAAATCAAAATTGTATTGTAAAATGATTATTATCCATTAAAAAATTTATTTGAATGATCTAATTTTCTTACAAAAATATATAATATATATATATAGAGAGAGAGAAATAAGGTTGGGGATGTTTAAGTGAGCTAATCTCATATTTTCACTCATTTATTTAAATTTTTATTTTTTAATAAAAGTAAAAATATTAAATCATAATATAATGACAAACATTTTTTTTAATAAATAATATATTCCTACACATTTATGTTTTTGCGTTATTTTAGTCCTCGTCGAGTCAATCTTACAAGTTAGACTAATTGGAAAATAGGGTTATTATCCAACTCAATCTAACACTACTGATAATGTTTCCTTAATTTACCAGACCTAAATAGTGTGAAAGTTATCTTATTTATAATCAAATAAATTACAAGAATATAGAAAGAGTAATAAATGGAAAGATACCTAGAATAATAAAACAAACTATGATATATATGATAAATTATAATTTATTACTAAATATTTTTAACGCATAATAGCTATTATACTGTGTAACACCGTTTATTATTCTTTAAATATTGGACTATTTTATAGCCAAAGGTCACATCTTGAATACTCACATGAAGGGGCAAGTGGCCTCAAATGATCGGGGGAGATTGTCTCATACATTAATTGAAAAATATTTTCCTCCAAACAAAAAATTAGAGAACAATATGTAATATATTAAAAATGTCGCCTAGTTGTCATGTCATTATGACTATGATTTAAAGTAAAAATTATTTTAAATTGTTTGAATTAAAATATTTTAATAAATTTAATACTATTTGATAATGAAAATTAAATTAAATCTTCGACATCATTTCTAAAAATTTTAATTTTAATACTGCAACTAAAGATGTCAGTTTTACGTGCAAGGTATGGATCCACTTGAATTGAGAGGAGATTTCCCATTTAAACGGAGAATGAGGGAGAGAGTTGGAAACATGCTTTCTCCGGTAGATAAATGGGACTGAGAACGGGATTATATTCCCTTTACCCTTTCCGCCCCTATAGTATAAATATATTTTCAACAATTAATTAGCTAATTTTGAAACTAAAGACTAAGCGGTAGGTTTTTTTTTTTTTTTTTTTTTTAATGGTTAAATACTAGGTTGTAATATTAATTTTTTAAAAATTAACGTTCATATATGTATATATATTCTTAAGAAATATATTAATTTAATCATTCTTTTTAAAATAATACACAGGTACAAATTATTCGCTAGGAATCTTTTCTTCCATCCCCACAAAAATAAATGAAGAATTTCACAGTGATATAAAATGAAAATATATTTACATAACCTCTTTACTCGATTCCTCCATTAAGCTAATGAAATTTTTTGCTTCTCTCTATTTTCTGTTTAAATAGGGATTCTTTGTCCTATTTAAACTCGATTCTTCGTAAGTTCATAAACATCTCTATAAAATTGGCTTTTTGAAGTACATCGTTTTCAAACATATTCTTTATTATAGAAGTGGACATGTAATCTTTGCTTGTTTACATTTGAAAATTCACTTCGATGACGAACAAAAGTCAAATGATATAACTGGCATCCTTATAACGGATTATTACTTGTTCCTACAAAAGCTTAGATTTTAATTATACTAAAAAAAAAAAATATATTAAATTGCATTTTATTTTATACGATTCCTCATTTTTATATACATAATTAAAAATATAAAGAAATTTAAAATGAACAAACATCTATACAAAAGATTCTCTTGTTCGCACAAGTTAATTACTAGTAGATATTGTTTTATTTGAGTTTTACTTTCAAAGTCAACATAGCCTTTGACTAATTTGTAAGCAAGTTGGGAAAACTTCAATAATTGAAATGATGGTTTCTTTAATTATAAATTTTTGTAATCAAACTTAATACGTTACATATTTAAATCTTTATTAAATATTATGATATTTATATTTTAAAAATATCATATAATAAATAATCCTCTAACTTCTTAACCATATATGGACGACTAATAATTTGTTTAAATAAATTATGTTTTTTTTTGCTTTTATAGTAAGCTCATAATTATAATGGGTGACGGTTATTTTTATTATTATTTTAATAATATTTTAAAAGAAGCAGCCAATCTCTCAAAAAAAGAAAAACTAACCTTTTCTCTTTTTTCAAGGAAAAAAAAAAAAAAGAAAAACTCAGGTGCCAGCTGTCAAAGAAGCGAGTGGTGCGCCAATCCGTCCAAGGTTCTGTTGCTGGGCCCCACATGACACGTGGCCACGTCATGCATTCTCCTTCATAGGTGTCATCCACTCGGATTTTACGATAGTTTCTCCTACACGTGTAGGTTTTCTCTTACTTTTCTCCATCACTGGGCCCCACAGTATATTAAAAAAAAATAAAAATAGAACATTAACCCCTTATTTTAATTTTTTAAATATTAATGATTTAAAATAAATTAACTAATTAAAAAAATGGTAAAAAAATTGAAGTTTGTTTAACAATACTTAAAAACACCTTTGTTTTATTACAAATAAATACATAATTTCGAAACTAATTTTTGATTTATATTTTTTCAACATATATGTAAGAAAGAAATAATTGACATAAAAAGTAAAAAAAAAAAAAAAAAGTATTTTCTTTTTAGTATTTTAATAAATTTATTATTTAAAAAAAATGGTATAATTAATTTTGTTTGTGATGGTAGTTTTCTGTGTGCGGGGATAAAATCTTGGAAGCTGTATTTTGTTTCCCAACTCAACAACCAAAAAGGGAGGAGAGAGAGGGGGAGAGAGAGAGAGAGAGAGAGAGAGAGAGAGAGAGAGAGGGTTTTTGAGTTACCTTGTTCAACACGGAATCCGAACGCTATAAATACTCCTCAATTTCTTCCCTTTAATTCCTTTCATTTTTGCTCCTTCTGTTAACCTTTTTCCCCTCCACCCCCTCTCTCTCTCTTAACAAACTTCCTTCTCTTTCTGTTTGGCTCTAGATTTCATCGTCTCTATCATCGCGCTCCGCCCAAGGTTTTCCCTCTCCCTCCCTTTTCTTCCTTATATTTTCCTCTCGATTCTCAGATTTTCCTTCTTTTCATCCGATTTTCTCCTGTGTTGTTTCTTTATTCTTGTTTCTATTCTGTTTTTGATCTTCAATCCAGCGCCGTTTTTTGTTTGCCTTAAAGGGAAAAGGAACAAGGAACAAGGAAGAAGAAGAAGAAGAAGTATTGGTTACGTTTCTAATTTCTTCAAGTCAGGTACGCCGTCTCGTCTTCCGATTGCTTTTTTTTTTTAATTATATTGTTATTAATCAAATGCTGTCAGAAATTCTGTTGTAAGGAACCTTTTCGAGATTTTTCTCTTCCTTCGAGAACCATTTCCTTTTTCTCTCTGTTTCTCTCTCGCCATTTTCGATTTTCGATCATATTTTCTACTTTCATTAATCACGGTTTAATGATTTTGAAGTCGGATTATGGCACTGTGCGCGAGTTTCTGATTGTTACTTTATATAATGTTGTCTCTGGGTAACTCTGGGTAACTTTTTTATAAAGTGAATCAAGTCGCTTTTATTATTTCCTAAGTTTATAGCACATAGGATGCTTGTTAAAAAGATGGCTTCCTGAGCCGATTGATACGACAGCTCCTTTTTTTCTCCCCCACCCTTTTGCATTAAACGTCTGTGATAATTCACCGCAAATGTCTATTTTGTCGGTTGCTGGGAACTGTGAACACCGCTGTGGTTGAAAATTTCACGTGCTTTTGTTGATGTAACTAACTGGGAGAGAGAAGAACGCCTTCTTGTCTTGACTTTTTCATTACGAATCTCGCTTTGCAGTTGGTCAATAAATAATATTTACATCCTTTTCCTCTTGCCTCTTCTTAATTTTCTAATCGAACAATTTACTTTAATAATACTTCCCATCACTTTTTGTTTTACGTCTGCATATAAAAACCCTTTATTCAAATAATAGACACTAAGCTACTTTCTACATTTTTATTAGCATTATAAGCTTAATCCTTTTAAAATAAAAGGACGGGGGGAAGGGGTGGGGTGCTCAATCCTTCCTTACAGAGTATAAGTACAAGAAGAATTAAACGGTCACAAAGCATCAAGAGCCAAATATGGAGAGAAGAACACTTTTTGTAGATTCGAATGAGTTCTTTTTTTGGATTGATATTTTCACGGCCAACATTGGTATCCATAGCCTTTTTTTCTTCCCCGCTTTAATCAAAAGGTTAATGTTTTTTTAGTAGTGTCAATATTTCTGGGAGCACAAAGCTCTACTGAAATGGATTTGGGTAATTACTAGCTTGTGTGGGTCTCGTCTTTTAGCGGCAGGTCCTACTAGTTACAGAACTTGGCTTTTTTATACAACTATCTTCAGACATGACTTTGTGGTCCATAGGCAGGGCCTTGGTTTGCAAACATTTATTTTTTATTTCTTTTACATGTAGTAATTATGAACGAAAATTATCAACAAATTTTGATTTTGAAGCATGTGGGAGTGTATTTTTCATCATGGAAGGATGTCTATGGCTTCTTTCAGTCTACAGTATTAAGTTATGAACACTATTCCATTTCTATTAGTTCTTCAAAATTGAAAACGATCTATACATCTGATCTACTGGTGACCCAGAAAACTTGGGTGGGAGCTTCGGCCCTTTTTGTCCGTTTGCAATCATCGCTCCTCCCTCTCTCTCCAACACAAGCCGAATTTCCATGCTTTTTACTGTTCTCTATTACCATCCAAAGCTCATAGAGAGAGCCATGAATATGTCCCCTTTTTGTCTTTTTTAATTGGGTTATCAACAACATTTGATATTTTTCTCATAATGCAATTGGTTTCTATTTACCGAATTACTCTCATAGAACCTGTAATTTGAAAAACTCAACTTTTTTTTACTTCTTTTGCACCTCATCTGGTGATGTCGAGCAAAATATTCACCAATGGTTTGATTCTGGAGGTAAACAACCCCATATGCGTATATTACGCATGATCCCCTAGATATGGCTGCAATATTTCTTTGTCGTCCCAGAATAGTTTTCTTTATGTAGAAGTAATATTGTAATGGAAAATGCAAGATTCGTTGCACAAAAACGTGTATGGATAAGGCCTGAAGCATTCTTATACTCGGTTCAATGTGAAAGGACACTAATTCCAAAACGAGGTTGGCTGTCGAATGAATAAATATGTTTTACTAAGATGTTCACATCTACTCTAAAGATTTATATAAAAAACTTAAAAATATTAGATTTGTATATGTTCGACGTCACATCTTCCTAGTTTTTCAGTCATCCATCCTTCCTTTTTGTAATATATTTTTAGGTACCCCACTAGCTACCTGAAGCTTGTAGACAAAATGCCAGGTTTTAAAAGAGATTTTTTAATTTCAAATTTATTTGGTATTTTACATAGATGTGTGGATTAATAATCAATTATTTTGTGCAATTAGCCAATATAAAATTAGCTGCTTGATGAACATTTAGACAAGTTGTTGTGTTAGTTAAATCACACATCAACCCAAAAGTTTAAGTTGGCTGATGAGTTATGGTTAATTTAATTATATCAACACTACAATACTTCCCTCACTTGTGGGTTTAGAAGGTCCGACACAGTGGAAATGAATATTAATTAACTGGGGAGAAAACAACATTACATGGGAACTCAAAATCTCATTCTCTGTTAACATGTTAAGTCATCAACCAGTCCAAAAACTTCAATAGTAGGTTATAGTGAACTTAATTACATGAACCCTTAAACAGTGTTTTATTCTGACAGTGTTTTATTATGGTATCTGACGGTCATTCATGTCTCTTCTAAATATGGTATATTAAAGCCTGGGGACTTTTGTATTTTACAGTTCTATGTACGGAATCAACGTACTAGTCATTCATTGCTCGTGCATAACATTAGAACCCTTTAGGTGGAAGTAGCAATTGGTCTCTCTTGACCTCCCTTAAGAACTCGTAATTTAAATATAATTCCAATTAATGTCATTATTCTATTGCATAGTTTCTTCTCAGGAAAATTATTTGGCATACACCTTCCCCGTATCTTTCCACTATAAATTATGTTCACAGGCTGAGAACTATATAATATCTGAAATCAGAATAATATGCATGTGAGAACTGTTGCATAAAAAAGGTGTAAATATTTCAAGACCTGAACTTGTTACATGCCTAATATATAATTATTATGTCCATTTTGGGGAGATGAATCATCAGATTTTGACCATATTTGGTTCATTTGGAAAATTTTATTCCAAAAATTAGAGAGCTTATCCGGTTTATGGATAAGATATTTATTCCTTAAAATTACCTGTCAGGTCTAAGTATTGATACTGTTAGCTTTAAATTTTCATGTACTTTTTGTTGGTTTTCACGCTTCCTACTTCTAGTAGCTATAGTTGATTAGCTGCTGTCATTTTGGGGTAGACAATTCTTTATTACTTAGATCGTTTGAGCATTCACTTGTTGAGCTGTTATCGCTACCTACCTTTATGCACCTTTTCTTTCTGTGCAGCATAGAGGATTATCGCGTATTTGAAACACATTTTTCCTTCCTCAAAGGTCGGATAGCAAATAATGTTGGGCGAAATTTTATAAATGCTGTGCTGCTTTGACAATGAAAAGGTACCACTGTTTCACAATTTTCTTTCCCTGTTTGCATCGTGGATTTTCTTCATATAATAATCTAATTTTTTAATATATATATGTTACAAACAGTTTTCAGGAAGACTGCGCTTGATGGACTGCTCAGCAAACAGTAGCGACAAAAAAACATTGAAGCGTTGGTTTTTCATTGATAAAAGAGTTGGATAGATTATTTGAGCATTAATTTCGATTTGATCGAGCATCTCTCTCATCACTCCACTATATTACAAAATCTTTTTCTCATATTAAGTTGCTGTATGGACTTGACATCAAATCACGCTTCTCCTGTTCTCACTGAACCTGCACCAATGAATAAATCTAGACTAGGAATCCATTCTGCTATTTTACCTTATTCTCAACCGGCTGGTTCCTTTTCCCCAAGTAAATATATCACAATTCCAAGGAAAAAGTCTGGAAAGTTTGATGATGTATGGTCCAATGGTTGGTTGGATGCAATGAAGTCCTCTTCTCCTCCTCGGAAGAAGCTAATTAAGGATTTTGATGTTGAGTTCGCTTCAGACGATGATACTGATGTTGCTTACAGCTCCTGGATGGTAATGTTAGATGCTTATAAATTTATATACATCCTCGTCTGATTTTTCACTTCATATACTCATTTTTCTTTCTGGTTCTGCAGCTAAAATATCCTTCAGCACTTGACTCTCTCGAGCAAATTACCAGCTATGCAAAAAATAAGAAGATAGCTGTTTTTTTGGACTATGATGGGACCCTTTCTCCCATAGTAAATGATCCAGATTGTGCTGTTATGTCGAATGCTGTACGTCTAGAGTTAGAATGGCAACGTCCTTTTCCTTTGTTTTCTACATGTATCTTCTTTAACCATCTTAGGTTTTTCCAGATGCGTTCTGCTGTAAGAAATGTTGCCAAATATTTTCCAACTGCAGTTATTAGTGGAAGAAGGAGAGAAAAGGTAAGTGGAGAATCCTTTCGAAATTCTCTGTTTTCTGGCTTTTGTCAAGAACTTAATTTCTTTTGGAACTGAAGCTGTGTGTATTGTTTTTCTAGGTTTTTGACTTGGTAGGACTAACTGAACTCTATTATGCTGGTAGTCATGGGATGGACATCCTTGGCCCCGTGAGTCAAACAGTGCTGAATTCCCATCCCAACTGTATTAAATCTACTGACCAACAGGTGAGTGATGGAACCAGATCGATCCTTGAATTGTAATATTGTATCTTAGTATTTCTTCTTTTTTATTCTCAAAATGGCAGAAGATGATCCTTAAATTGTAATAATATATCTTAGTACCTTCTCTTTTTTCATCCTTAACATTCTTGTCACAAGTTAATGAATTGAGATTTCATTAATTTAAACTCTCATGATCTCTGTTTCAAAAAACAGGGTAAAGAGGTTAATCTGTTCCAGCCCGCAAGGGAATTCTTACCCATGATAGACGAGGTGCACATTTCTTTTTTCTTATTTACCTCATCAAGGCATAGTACAACGTTTCAAATTAATAATGTATTAGAAGTATCATTATTTCTTGTAGGTTTTTGGAACCCTCGTTGAGAAGACAAAAGATATTAAAGGCGCAAAAGTTGAACACCACAAGTTTTGTGCCGCTGTACATTACCGCAATGTAGATGAGAAAGTAGGATTCTTGGCTCTTCTATCAAGTCATAACATTTTTTTCTGTGTTAGATCATCTGAAACATTTCCTCCCTTTGTTATTCTTCAGAACTGGCCCACAATAGCACAATGTGTTCATGATGTACTAAAAGACCACCCACGTTTACAATTAACACATGGGCGGAAAGTATGTTTGTTTTTCTGTAAAACTTCCTTGTATGTGAATGCTTCCATTATTTCGAGTTTTTATAGCTGTGTTCTGACTACTGATTTGATACTGCAATAGGTTTTAGAGATCCGTCCAGTAATTGATTGGAACAAGGGAAAAGCAGTTGAATTTCTGCTTGAATCTCTCGGTAATTGTCATTTTTTTTTCTGTATTTCCTTTTTAGATAAACTAAAAGAGTTTTCTTGCGTATCCTCATCCAGAATCCAAAATGTTTACAGGATTAAACACACGTGAAGATGTGCTCCCTATATTTATTGGCGATGACAGCACTGATGAAGATGCTTTCAAGGTAAAAGTCTTCATATGCTAATGCTTGTTTTTATATTGCTTTCAAGTTCTAATATTGTTCACATTGTCTTTCTTGCACAGATGTTGCGGGAGAGAAATCAGGGGTACGGCATCTTGGTGTCTTCTGTGCCAAAAGAGACCTACGCATTCTACTCCCTCAGGGATCCCTCAGAGGTTAGTGGTTCGTTTATTTCCTCATCATTTCTTTGTACGTATAGATCGATCTGCAATGAGCTTGTAGGAAGGATTTTGGGAAGGAAAAATAAGGAAAAGTTGATAGTAAAGTAGAGTATGAATTGATGTGTGGGTGCAGGTAATGGAATTCCTGAGAGGATTGGTGAGAAGCCGTAAGAAGAAGGTGTGGGGCCATGAAGCCGGAAGAAATAATTGTTGATTAGGTGAAAAAAAAAAAAAAAGAAGAAGAAGAAGAAGAAGAAGAATAGCAGTAGTTTAGAGTAGGGGATGATTGAGGTTGAAAAGTTTGTATGTTTTTTTTGGTAATAGAATCCAAGGAGTCTGTTTTATTTAGATTACGGGGGGTTTGGATGACTACTACTGCTACTTTGTGGGTGGGTCTACTACTGTTAGCCATTTCAGAAATGTGTCCACATGTTTACCCTTATTTATTTCATTATTTCAACTTGTCCTCTCTCGCTCTGTATGTATGTATGTTGCTTTCCTTGGTAGTGGAATGAATGTATGAGGCAACTACTACTAGTACTACTTGTGCGTGCAATTATTTTTTGGTTAGTTTGTATAATGAGAGTATGAAATGAGTTGATTTTCATTGAGAAGGGGGGCTCTAAGCTGAGGGGAAAGAAGCGCCATTGGTTGCTTCAAGATCAAAGCATCCCTCGTTTCATATCTTAGGACTTTGTTCGCTGGTTCCTGGTTTGACATTTCACCTTCCAAGTTAGGTGCTTGTTTCAAGTTGGACGTGCCACTCATTCAAAGTTTGATACTTTGCCTTCAAGTTTAGGAGTTTTATTTGGTTGAAGTTTGGAGATTTTAATATTTGGTTTCGCTGGGGGTTTGGCATTTCCCTCTATCGCCAAGTATAGAGGCTTCATTGCACTTTATTTTCAAGTTTTGAGGCTTGGTTCATGCTCCTTCTTCATCAATCCATTACAAAAGCTTTATCATTGCTCCATCATCGAGCTCGGAAGCTTCGTTGTCACTCCATCGTCAAGCTTAGAGGCTTCGTCTCAAACTTCATTGTAGCTTTATCCCTTGGAGGCTTGTTGTGGCCGATCTCCATGTCCTGTGGCTTCGTCCTTGCTCCATCTTGATGTGCTCTCCAAGTTCAGAGGTCTAAACCTCACACGTTTCGACTCAATGTTACTTGAGTTTTGCTTCGCTTCAAGCCTTCAAACTCAAGCTTCACTCTACCGTGAAGAGGATGAGTCCCCAATTTAGATGTTGGCCTTAAAACATCTTTGACAAATATCACTGCGTCTTTGCTCTCCCATGGACGACATTGACGACACCTTTGCTTGGACGAAGGCCATCAAATGTCGACAAGCAACGAATCCCGATGGAAACACTTTCATCTGCATCTTCTTTTTGATAGAACAAGATCAACATCCCACACCTTTATTCCAAACATGAATTTGATAAAATCCAAATCCATGTCAACAACCTAAATTCCATCCCGACTAAATCCCAAATCAAAATTTGGTCGTAATTATAATTTTATCCAAAAAAATCGATCAACCTAATGCAACTCAACACAACCCATGTACACCTCTAGCTACAAGGCACACGCATCACACATCACACAAGTCGTCCAACTAAGTCAAAAGTGAAGTCAAGCCGACGTCATTAAATTTCCTAAGTTGATGTTCATTAATTTCCTAAGTTGATGTTCATTTGATCTTACTCGTCGACGAGGTCTAGTTCGAAATCTAACTCCAAACCGACTTCGTCCTCTTTGTTTCTTCTTATTCTTTCAAATTGGCGTTGGTTGACTAGAGATAAAAGAAAGGATGATGGATTGATAGAGTAAGTAATGTTTGGTTTCCTGGGGAGAATTAGGTGATAGGGTAGAGAGTCGAATACAATTGATAATAGAAAAGAGGTTAGAAAGTCTTAAAAAAACAAGCTTTGAAAGCTGAAGGGGAAGGGGAAACTCCCATGTTGGTGGAACCCAAAAATGGAGCATCTTTCAACATAAAATCTTCTTCCTCCTACACCAACCCCACAAACATCAAATTCATACACAAGTAATGAAAAGCATGAAGAAACAAAGAGGAGGAGACCTGGTGAAGAAGCAACCTAGGGTGTGTTGTTGTTGTTGTTGTTGTTGTTGTTGGGAGGAGGAACACCAAAATTGTGAATGTGAGGGAAGTGGGCCCACTGCTTCACCCATCAAAACAACAAAATCAATCTCTTAAAATCAACGAACGAACGAACGAATGAATTCACATACATTCTTAGCTGCAGCGCTGAAGGCTTCTCTGTGAGAGATGTCTGGATTGGCAGCCTTGATGCGTTGGATCTCCTCCCTGCAATGCAAGATATATATATAGATATATATATACATACATCACCCCACTTTCTGAACACCAAACCACAGACAAAACAAAAAAAAAAAAAAAAAAAAAAAAAAAAAAAAAAAAAAAAAAAAAAAAAAAAAAAAAAAAAAAAAAAAAACCAGAAAAGAAAGATGAAACAATGGTGTACTCACTTGATGAATCGGTTGTATGCAGAGGGTACTCTCTGTTTCTTTTCTGCAGCTGTGTCTCATCAACACACCATTTAAATTAATCCCCTTTTTAACCTCTCTTCCAAACCCTAATCCCATTTCAATTCACAAACCAAACAAACACGAACTAAAAACAGAGAATATAATAAACATAACCGTTCTAAGTTGAAAGTAAAGTTCGTTGAAGATTGTTGGGAGGGGGTTGATTATGAATTTATAAGTAAGGAACACTTAAAGCTACCCGTCATTAATTTATCCACTTATTTTTTTTTTATAGAATGTTGCGTTAGTTTGAAAGTTGTATAGGTAGCAGCCCTAAACAAAGAGAAAAGCAACTAGGGCTGCAGATTCAAACGCATAGAACCAAGAGAATAGTTAATGATCTTGGAATCCATCCAATATATCAACCAAACAATATGACAACACAATTCAAATTTCTGTACAACATTTTGTTTCTATGTTGTCCTCTTACCTTAATTTTGTTCTCAATATCATCTTAGCTACTCAACAACTTACAACACTTCACATGCCTCCTCCAAATACTACACAAATCTTGAACTATAATCTTAATCCGTTCGAGTTATGAATCTATTTTTAAAGGGTTTGTTCATCCTAACAAGAAATTTCCCGAAACAAGAAAGGATTTTTAGACATATCAAGAGTTTGAAGATGGTATGAAAAAATCACACACACAAAAACAGAATAAGATTTAAGAAATGAATTCAATGATCTCACGTCTATTTATGTTTGAGGGCGCCCTTGGAACATCATTGCCTACACGAGTTACCATTGTCAAATCAATTCCATCGGTTTGGTTCATCGCAAAATTTGGATTTGGATTTGAGATCTCTTCCTGAAAACAACAACAAAAACTAAAAAGCATAAGTTTTACAAATCCCTTTAGGGTTAGCAACCAAATTAAGGGATTGAATTTGATAACAATTTTGTTTTTATTTCAAAATTACCTAAATTTTGAAAGGAAACCCGAAAACATAAACGATACTAAATAGGGTTTAGTGTACCAGAAAATTATGAGCATTGGGAGTGAAGAAAGGAGTGGAGGAGGGAGGAAAGGCATGAAAGTGATTGGGAGAAGGGAGTAGCATGCCACCACGCATGTTCACCGGTAGAAGATTGGCGCAGTGGCCGCAACGGACAGTGACCGTTTTGAACAAACTAGCACAAGGAACACTCACCTAAATAAAAACACAAACCTCAATTTAAAAAAAAAAAAAAAAAAAAAAAAACAGAAGAAGAAACCTTAAGAGTCGAAACAAATGGGAACGTACCGCCAAAACCGTGTCGCAAATGTTGCAATGGACATAGCAGAGGTGGTCGGAGGAAGGAGGAGGAGGAGGATGTTGGGAGAAGGTGGTGGGAAGGGAAAAAGACGACATATTTAACAAATTCTGCGTTTCTTTTTTGTTTTGCTTTTCTTGGTTATTACAATTCTCCTCGTCTTTTGATTCACTGATTGGATTGGGTTGGGTTGGATTGACCGCTTAACTAAAAAAACCCTCTTACTCTCGTGTATGTTTGTATGTATTGATGTATGGGTATTGGGGTTCCCAATGCATAGAGGGGGTGGGGAGAGGAGGGAGAAAAGGACGTATGCATGGGAGGTGAGGAAGTCAGGTGTAGTTTTCAGAAGAAGTAAAGAGGGGGTGTTGTTGTTGTGTTGTGTTGTTGTGTTGCGTTTGATTTCCTCAATTTCCGAACCCTAAGAACCTTTCTTCTTTATATCTGTTGGATTGAAGGTGCGTCCTTTTGTTTTCTTCTCCCTCCCTGTCAACAATAATGGCATAATCATGACACTATCATTTTGTTATTTGGGTGTAATACCTTACCTACCTTTTTTGCTCCATTCTAAACTTTTTCAAATTAACTTTAACTTTCTTTCAATTTCTTACTTAATAGGCGGAGATATCTATTTAACCTGTGGGATCCGGTTATGTGGGGACATGCCCTTAATAGAGTGGAGATTCTCTGTTTAGTCGAAAAATGTAATAAGTTAGCGAGAGATTTTTCCCTTTGTTAGATAAATAGAGTCGAGAGTGAGAATTATATTCCCCATCGATTGTGAGATCTCATATTGGTTGTAGAGAGGAACGAGTGCCAGCAAAAACGTGAGATCGCACATTGTTTGGAGGGAACGAGTGTCAGCGAGGACGCTAGCCTCGAAAGGGGGTGGATTGTGAGATCTTATATCGGTTAGAGAGAAGAATGAAGCATTCTTTATAAAATTGTGGAAACCAACATCGATTGGAGAGAGGAACAAGTGTCAACGAGGACGTTGGTCCCGAAAGGGGGTGTATTGTAAGATCCCGTATTGGTTAGGGATGCGAACGAAGCATTTTTTTTTTTTTTTTATAAAAGTGTGGAAAATCACATCAATTGGAGATTCCCACAAGTGACGACAAGGACGTTGGGTTCGAAAGGGGTGTATTGTGAGATCTCATATAGGTTGTGGAGGGGAACGAAACATTTTTTTTATAAGACTGTGGAAAACCTCTCCCTAACAGAGCATCTTAAATCTTGAGGGGAGGCTCGGAAGGAAAAACTCAAAGTCGACAATATCTGTTAGCGGTCGGTTTGTGCTATTACATAATTTATTTATTATTATTATAGCTAAAATGACTTTATCAACTAATAATAATTTACAATAACATGAGCGAATCAACACCAATTAATAGTTTATATGGAAAAAATAAAAATTATACATGAAAAAAATTCTTTAATATGATGAACACGTTTCCGCAAATTTCTTAGAAGAAATTCCCGCCTCAAACCCTACAAAAAAAAAAAAAAAAAAAAAAAAAAAAAAAAAAATTGTAAGATGAAAAATAAAATAAGTGGTAGAGATGAGGATGAGAAAAGTTTCTCGGTTTTCACCCGCCCCATAGACATCTTTACTAATAATTTAATAATAAATTAATTCTTCGAAATTAAATAATGTATTAAACATACAAATGTGAAAGATAAAGAAATTATTGAATATTTTTAAAAATTTAGAAATTTATTACACATATTTTATGACATTGATAATATTTATTTGATTTGACATGAGGTGGTAGACATAAGAGGGCACGTTGTAAATGTTACTTTTTATTTTGTGTATTGACATGTCATATTAATTATCAAATTTTTGTTTATTATTAAATTATCACCAATTTGAACATAATTCAGTAGTTTGATCTCCACTTTAAATATTAAACACGATATATTAATAATAAAAATTTTAATTTTTTAAGTTGAAGAAATAAATAAATAGAATTGAGTTCGATTTAACTTATTTATTTTATTTAATAGAATTATTTTATTAATTAGTCGGTGGATGTATTTTAAAAGGTGTGATGTTATTATCCTGGTTTAGGACCGACCTAGTTAATCTGACTCGGACTGTTTAAAGTCCTAGATTGGGCCTTTGAACACGATGAGCTTGTGGGTCCGCTCGACTTGCGGAGTTAAATTCAACCACAACATTGGTCCCCACTCTCAAGCTAGCTCTTGGCTTGGGGAAGACTTTTCGAGACCATCACCATGTTCAATCACATGGACTTGATTTTGTGCAACAATTTTAGTTCGTTGAGACATCTAGTAGATCGGGTAACATTTAAAATGCCTATCCCAAACCCATAAGACTAGGTTTAGCCTTTCGTGCTTTGATAAGTGTTGCAAAATCACGTGTTTGGACGCCTTTACTTACAACATTAATTGTACTAACACGATAAAATGGAGCTAATTTAGAAGAATGTTTAGTTTATGTTTTATACAAGTGAAATTTTCAAAATAAAGAATAATCCAGTTTGTTCAGACATTATAAAGCATCAAAATGTTTGATCTCGATGATACTTTAACTTGTTGGATGAGATCCCTTGTCTATACATACCCACCATTCGGGTCAACATTTGCCAGGCATAATCCAACCCATAATAGAAAATAGTAGATTTGTGATCTATGCTCCAAGTGATTGTTGGACATTACCACCCCTTTGAGTTTGTTTGAGGGTTTAGATAATGTATTCAATGCTTTAGGTGATGGATAGAATTATCTCACTATTAAAGCAGACATAAATTTGCTATGTTAAGATTAGGAAACTTGAGATAGAGCGGTTCTATGTTGACCTAAGTCAGTATGTTTCCAATAGACCGAACACCATAGGATCGTGAGTGACGATCAGCGATTAAGTCCATAGTGCTCCCAAAAGTTGGTTGCCTCCTCTTCCCTAAAGTAGTACTATTTAGTAACCTAGGTCAGACTCAATATTGCCCTTACCAAGTGAATCCATATGATCAAGCTTGACTAAGGTTAAATAGGATGGCCGTTGTGGCAACTTAATGAGCTACTATTCTATGTAGAGACTAGATGAGAGCCTAAGCCATGATTTCGTAAACCTATTTTGAAAAGGGACGAGAGACTACATAAGTAGTTCAACACATGATGAGTGTCAATATAATGAGTGGAAATAGTTAGGGGCTCTCTGAACAGTCTTGCTATACTATAAGCTCTCCTAAGAAGGGACAAAAGACCACATGGGTAAACCTAGTAGCTAACTGGTACGTATGATCGCTCCCACGAGACTTGACTATATAGTAATTTTTGTGGAAGGGCCGTTAGTTAACCTTACACAGAAATGTTCATCGTATTGTCCTAGTTCTATCGGTATATTTTGAATAATAATTTAGATTTGAAAAAAAATTAGGGATAGAAAGGGTGAGGGGAGAGTGTTGGATGGGATGGGAATGAGCGTACAAAGTGGCATGATACTTGTAGGGTTAGGAGCATGGGATGGGACATAAATGAAAGCATTAAAATGCATGCCTCTGTAATGTACTATACGACATGTTCAATGTATAAAGCCTGCAAACTCTACAAATCGCCATGGGGTGGGTGGTGGATGAATGGAGGAGATATCAATCAATTCCCATAAATTCCTTACCTTTTTTTGTTTATGTGGTTGAGGGATACACTATTTTTTACCCAAATATTATCATACAAATTGAATCGAGTTCGAAAGTCTTTTATGTATGGATAAATTATTTAGCCTCCAACTTTTAATGGATAATAGAAACGAGATACAAAAAATGTACAAATGACAACTCATGAAAACACAAACTGTATTGATGCCCCAGGTTGATGCCCATCAGTGACAGTGCAGGCTCCCAAGCACTCTCTCACCTCGACCTGAGGTGCATTCACCAGGAAAAAAGAAGGGGTAAAGGAGTGAGTACAAAAATATTTGGTAATAAACCTATTTGTAGGCTATCATCACATCCAATTCCTAGTAAGTTTCCACAAACTTTTATCTAGGCTCAGAAGTTTGGGTCTATTCAACTATCTGAGCTTCTCTGTAGGTCTCGAAGTTGTAGTTACAACTATAATCACTCAAATATTTATGTAGCCTAAGTCCCTTATTACAATCTGTTTACGGAATCTCGATCCAGCATTTGACTTGTTTCTGCATGCAATAGTATCTCTCACCTTTAGTTATCTACCTGTTTTGACTCACGTTTCTCTCCAAGATCGGTTTACAGAATCACGACCTCAACATATGACTCGTGTCTCCATGTAATAGTATCTCTCACCTATAGTTATCTACCTGTGTCTACTCAAGTCTCTGTCCAAGATAAGCTTATGGAATCGCAATATTAGCCTTATCCTTTTTTACATAGGGGTATTTTAGTAATTTTCCATATCATATATAGTATTCTCATCCAAATAGCATTTTAGAGTCCTAAGCATGCATATTCCAACAACTTAAGATAAAATATGCTCGCATACTAGCACGTCCTACCCACAAGAATAATCCTTCCCGTACCACCCACACTGAACCCTACCTTAATACCTATAGAATTGAGCCTAAAATGTTCAAACGGACGTTTTTGGGTTTGATATAGAGAAGGGGTATGATTTCAAAGTTTGTAGACATATCTAAATATCTTTAATTTGCACCAAATAGAAGTACATGAACATGGGTAGCATAAGCACATGTGAAGACAAGAAGACATATCAATGATGTGTTCTCACATGGGACGTTCTCTTGAAGTTAAACAAAGTTGATGATGCTATCTATCTTACTTCCAAAGATAGCCTCAAATCAAAGGATAAAAAACCCACATCATATATACAATCATGCAATGCTCTCTCCTTCTCTCAAACCACATTCTAAGTATTGCCTCTCTTTTTATATATAACCATCAACTTTATAAAGAGGAGATGTTTTGTTATCAGTCTCACAGTTTTAAGGAGATGTTTCCACACCTATATAAGGAATGTTTCGTTCCTCTCTCCAACCGATGTGAGATCTCACAATCTACCATGTTTGGAGGCCCAGCGTCTTTGCTTGCACACCGTACAATATTTGACTCTAATACCATTTGTAAAAGCCCAAACCCACCACTAGCATATATATTATCTACTTTGGTTTGTTACATATCGTTGTCAAGCCTCACGTTTTTAAAACGTGTCTACTAGAGAGATGTCTTCACACATTTATAAAGAATGTTCCGTTCCCCTCTCCAACCAAAGTAGAATCTCACAGTGTTGGCATCACGAAACTTAAACTTATTTACATCAACTCATCCAATTATGCTTCGGTCTTTGGCCCCCTAACGTCAAATGCAACCGACAATTCGTCAAACGTCCTATGTTGATGTGAGGTAGTAGTAGCACAAGTGAGAAAATACAAAATTATATTGACCTCTTTGCCTTGTAGCTCCAATATATCCTTATCTAGTTATGTCCCCTCGCATACATCTATCTCTCTCTCTCTCTCTACCAAATTGGAGCACGCCCAATGATTATGTCTTAGTGTGGTTGTAAGGAGTTTTGATGCTTGACTTCAACTCAAGTAAAAACATGCATGCTATGCTATCTACCTTTTGTGTTTGAAGCCTTAAGCAACACCATATAAAACATATACCACATATATAGAGAGACATAAACAGAGATTGGCCTTTATTTCTTCATTTTCATATACCACATAAGCCGTAGCTTTCCCAATACAAGGCTGGTTTTGATGATATTCGAGCCATTTCTCCATTTTCATGTCCATGCCCAACAAAACCTCCAACCAACTAAGAATCACAAAGAACTTGCCTCCAAACTAAAGGTAAATTCCATTTGTATACATTCATTCATTTGTTTTATACATTCGTTTCATTCCAAGAGCTTGTTGGTTTACTCGAAGATCCATCAACTCTCATGTTTCATTTCTTTTTATCGTATCAATTTCTCGATCCATTACAATCTTCCCGTTTTCGTTTTAAACTTTCTCTTCAAAATTTATAGAATCAACACATGCAAAAAATTTTAAATGAGAGATTTCTTCGTTACTAGCAAACGAGGTTGATGAAGATAAAGATGATGTAGCTACCTAAATCTCTACGTGCTCTAAATCTTGAGAATCTTTATCTGTGTTTGTCCGTGTTAACATGAAATTTACTTTAAGCTTCGCATGCTAAGTTCCAAAATTCCTCTTCATCCGGACGGAATGATATTTTTTTTTGACACAGAATTATATAATCGATAAGCTTTACAATTCTCACTCTAACCCGCTATAATACGACAAACCCTTCAGCAAAACGATCATTCAACAAGAGTTAAAGAAGTAAAGTTGGTCATGTAAATTTACAACTTTAATTTAATCATGCAACAATTTTGATTACATATGGATATGCTTATTTTAAATATAATATGAACTTCTTTAAGTAACATAAATATATAGGTTTTTTACTATAATCAAACATTTATTCAGCTCCTATAGAGAGCTAGCTCTTAAGCTGTAGTTTCATAGTGTGGGTTCATTCACTTGCATATTTGGTAGGATGAGAGTAATTAGCTTCATCTCGATCCGTGCTGAGCTGAGATGCGACGTATCGGTCCATGGCTTGCCAATCCATCAGCTTATTATCTACACCATGAAAGAATGTTTGAGACGAGGAGGGGGCGTTTGATCGAGGATCGTAGCTGCACGATGACATATCGGAGTTAAGCTCAAGGTGTCGAGGGAGCTGAGGGAAAGCATCGTCAAACACGGCGAAGTGAAGATGATCAATCTCATGCTTGCAAGGGTGAGAGATTTGGTTTGGAGAATCAATTTGTGGCATGAAGGAGATTTGATCATCTTGCCAATAAGGTGATTCATAATCGCCCATCTTTTGGGCCGTCGTCATTTTCTTCTTGAAAACCTTACACACCACCCATCCTTCTTCCTGGTACAAATGATTGATCATAACAATCTACACTTCAAAAATTAAAATAATTGTAATTCAATTGTAAACTTGCCTGAGGAGCACCATTTTCACTCGTCTCGAGTCTGTACTCATGCATGATCCAATCAGACTTTTGTCCGTTCGGGGCTCGACCTCGATAGAACACTAGGGTTTTTCTCATTCCAATTAAACCATGCCCGTACCTCGAGTAAATAGCCTTGTCCCTTCCCGTTGCCTTCCAAAACCCTTCTTTCGTAGCTCGATTAGTTCGAGTGCTTGTTGGATACTTCTTATCTTTATGGCTGAAAAAGTACCAATCCTCTTGATCTTGACCTCCCATTCTACACAATTCTGTGTACAAATATACATCATTAAAAAGGGTTTTCTTCAAAACATTAGAATCAAAATTGTGTACTCTCTTTTCATTACCTTGAAGATCCCATGGCTCAATTTTGTAGAGATCAATGTCTTTGATGACATCAATATCAATCCTTTTCGAACCAACTTTTTTCCTCAAATAATAATCTATGAGCTCTTCATCGGTTGGATGAAATCTAAATCCCGGAGGAACATGTAAAATTGTATTCATAATTTCTCGATCTACCTGCACAAATGTTTTCTCATTCTCTCGTAACTCAAACCCTAATTTTATTTGTTTATCGATAGTGAATCAATTTGAACTCTCGATATACAAAAAAAAATTCAATATATTCTTTCGAAATAGTTTAACATAATCTTTCTAATGGATTAGTTACGAACAAGCACGAAAATACACAAACCCTAACTTAAAAAGCATTTCTTCAAAACAACAATCCAAGAATTCTCATCAACAAAGGTATAGTTTTATACAAATTTACATAATGATTAGTGAATTGTAAACAAAAAGAAGCACAAAATGATTACCATTAACAAAACCCTAATCTTTAGCTTAGCTCAAAAGTCACATACCATTAATTATCATCAAGCTTCAAACCCTAACAAATCAAATGAAGCTTCAAACTAAAAATTATCTAGAATGTCATCAAAATTCAAGCTTAGTACCTGTTTGAATCCGCCCTTTGAAACCCGAAACTTCTTTTCTCCAAATCTTCTACAACAACACGCCTTTTCGTCTCTTCGTCTCACTGAACCAAACAAATAATACACGAACAGAGAATGGAGAAAATTAGATATCAGATCGTCTCTTCGTCTCTTCAGTCTCTTCTTCTTCTTGTCTTGATTCTAGAGAGAGAGAGAGAGAGAGAGAGCAAAAAAGGAAAGAAAAAAAAAATCTTTGCGCCAAAGGAAAGGTGGCGAAGAAATGTATTTAGAGAGAGAAACATGGCCACCAGCAACTGATGGAGACCAGAGAAAATAATAAAAAAAAAAAGAGGAATTGTTTGCTTTTTTGATGTTCAAGAGAGGGTGTTGCATATGATAGGATGATGGATGGTTGGGATTAAAAGCTGGGTGCTCAAGAACTGTTAATCAAGTACGATACAACTTATATTAATTTTTACTTTACATATGAATATGATAAAGAAATGGAAGAATATGATAGCACAATATCATTATGATATATACCAAATTGCATCCACAATAATTGCAAACCGCAGGTGCACAATATCAAAATTTAATGAACTCATAACAGATTACATCTCCCTGTTATCAGGAATTTGTCCAACTAAGAACTGGAAAAGGAAAATTAAATTAATTGTAACTCACTTAACCATCATAGTTGTGATTATTCATTTTTAATTAACACAATTATTATGAGCAATAAAATAAGATGATGTTGTCATATATAAGTTTGACTGGTACGAATTCTCCCACTTTTACTTTTTAATTCATTTTTAATTAACACAATGCTAGTTGAAGAGAACGGAGGGGTGGATTATGAGTTTCTACATTGGTTGGAGATGAGAACGAAGCATTCTTTGTAAGGGTGTGGAAATCTCTCCCTAGCCGATGCGTTTTAAAAATCTTGAGAGGAAGCCTGAAAGAGAAAGCTCAAAGAGAACAATATCTGCTACTGGTGGACTTGGGCTGTTACAAATGATATCATAGCCAGACACTGGGGCGGTGTGCCAGTGAGAACGGTGAGTCTTGAAGGGGCTGGATTGTGAGATCCCACATCGGCGAGGGAGGAGAACGAAACACCCATCATAAGGGTGTGAAAACTTGTCTCTAGTAAACGCGTTTTAAAAACCTTGAGGAGAAGTCTGAAAGGGAAAGCCCAAAGAGGAAAATATCTACTAGCGGTTGGCTTGGGCCGTTACACTAACTGAGGCTCAAATGGGGGCTTGACCATGATTGCACCACTTGCCCGCACGTGAACTAATCGAAGGTGATTTTTCACCCGTTCCCCCTTCGTCTGACTTTTTTTCACTTTGGTTTCAATATTAACTGTCTTACAACTTGAATTAGGTCCAACCAGAGAAATTTTCAAGACTTTGGAGAACCTAACAAGTTGAAAACAAGCACGGGGAGGCAGCAAGACCATATAAGTAGTCGTTCAAATTTTCTTGAATAGTACTTTTAGGGATTGTTAGGATGTGCTACCATGCGAGCATAACCTACTATTGATAGATGAGAGTTTAGTTAAATATGTTATGTATGTTGTAGCCAAGGACTAAAATTCTCTTACTAGGAGATTTATAAAATGCATGTTGTATGAGATATTTTTGTTGGGCTAAATTCTCTATTGAGATATTGTGATTTATGCTCCACGTGATTGATGAATGTTATCTCTCTGTTGAACTTGCATGTATAGTATGTGAATGAGTTCTTTAGTTCAATGGATTAGTTGTAATATATATCCCTACTTGAGCACGCATGATTGTACTAAATTACAAATAAAAGTTACAAATAAGACCCTACGAGTTAGGACAATTTTATGTTGACTAGGATCATGAACCATAAATGGTCAAGGCCCTCATGCTCCCAAGTAGTGTCCAAACCAAGTGGTAGGTATCAAGGAATACATACGGTTGAGCCTGACCAATAGAATAATATAACGAAGCTACTTAATGAGTTACAATCGTGTGTAGAAATAGTTCAAGGGTCGAGGCTACAACTCCATAAGCTATCTTAAGAGGGGACTAAGGACTACATAAGTAGTTTAGCTCCTGATGAGTGTCATTAGCGTGTGTAAAAATGGCCATGAGTCTTATGAACAAGATTACTTTGTTATAAATTCATTTGAGATAGACGAGGGACCACATAGATAAACTTAGTAGTTAGCTAGCACATGGAGTCATTCTCCCAAATTTAGTAGTAAGGGTTGCCAAACTTATCTTACACAAATGTTGCTTAAATGAGTAGATATCATATATGGGATGAAGATAAGATAATAGTGTTTTGATATCTATAACCAAAATGTTGTAGTGTTATGGGTTGCCAATTTTGGTGTATTTTGGTTTGCTGTTTTGTTAAGATAAGATAATAGTAATTTGTGGTGTAAATGTTATGGGTTATTTGATTGTGTAGTGTACAATATTTGTGGGTAATTGAAGAGACTTGGGGAAGACGGAAAAGCTACGTAAACAACTGGAAATTAATCTTGTTTCCTAATAAAACCACACACCCACCCAAATTGCTTTCATCATCAAACCTAAATTTTAAGACTGCCCAAATGTATTTCATCAAATTATAAGTCTTTTTTTTTTTTTTTTTTTTTTTTTTTTTTTTTTTTTTTTTTTTTTTTTTTTTGATAAAGTTCCTGGCAAATACAGTTGAAGACAACACACAAATTTGGCTAAAAGCAACCCCCAATTGTCTTCTTGTCTTTGGGTTATTTCTGTTGGCAAAATCAGTTTTTTTCTGCTTTTTTTCTCATGTGTGAACCAGAAGAAATCACAATGCTCTCAGATGCCAATCCTATTGCTCGACCGAGCTCATTTGCTGCCGAGCTTGGCGGTTACAACTGGCAAAACTTTTTACAAGACGAGCACATTTCAAGAGGTCATTAGGATAATCTTTGTAGCATTGAAAGCAAGCTTCGCTTTCAGCCAAGCAAGGCATAGGCTTCTGGTAAGGGAGCTTGAACTCCTCCTCATGGAGGTCTTTAGCCCTTTGAGTGACTTCCTGCCGCAAGTTATCCTCCTGCTTCTGCAAATTCTCCACTACCTTTTCGCTCTCTTGCAGCACGGATTGGATAGCATCTATCTCGGCGTTTGCAGGATGCACAGGAAGGAAGAGCGAAGGAGGCCGGTGTGGCCATCCATCACTTCTGCTTCCTCCTTTCAGCATTCCAGAATCATCAGATGTATGCTTCTGATCAACCTTTATTTGGGGTTTTTTACTCTCTTGTGGTGCCTTGGTTCTATTTCTTCTTGGTGTTCGTTTTGGTTTTTCAGTATCAACGATTAGCATATCAACAAGGTTTGAACTAATCTGAATGGAAAAGTCACCCATTATGCTCCCTAAGCACACTACCTGAAAATCATGATAGAAATTATGTTTTAATCAAGTTACAAACATGTAGACAGCAAAAGAAGTTGCATAACAACACACTAAGGATATCCAATTATCCATCATGCAATGCATTATGTCCTAACAGATGAGGGATATAACAATTTCAGGCTGATTGTCTCTGCAGTGACATAATAATCTCAAAATCAAATAGAAGTACATACGTGAGATCCCACATCGGATGGAAAGAAGAACGAAGCATTCTTTATAAGGGTGTGGAAACGTCTCCCTAGCAGACGCGTTTTAAAAACCTTGAGAGGAACCCTGAGAGAGAAAGCTCAAAAAGCACAATATCTAAAAACGGTGGGCTTGGGTCATTATAAATGGTATCAGAGCTAGACATTGAGCAATGTGCCAGCGAGAAGGTTGAGCCTCGAAGGAGGTGGACATGAGGCAGTGTGCTAGTAGACACTGTGTGATGTACCAGCAAGGACACTAGGCCCCAAAGGAAGGTGGATTGGGCGTCCCATATCGGTTGGAGAAGGGAATGAGGGTGGATAGTAAGATTCCACATCGGCCAGAGAGGAGAACGAAACATTTTTTATAACGGTGTGGAAACCTCCCCTAACAGACGCGTTTTAAAAACTTTGAGGGGAAGCCCAAAAGGAAAAGTCCAAAGAGGACAATATCTGTGCTAGTAGTAGGCTTAGGCTGTCTCTAAAGAACTCAGCGATTTGCTATAAGTTGTACAGTTCCGTCCCATTTTCAAGGGAGAAAAAGGTTGACACACCTGCTAATAGAGCCTGACTAACACAATTTCTGCAAGAGTCCAATCCAGCAAGATATCCATATACAATACAAGAACATATACAAATACAAAACCATGGCGTTCCTTCAAACCCAAGTGTATAATGTACCCATGTTCAACGTTCATCAAACACTCTGACATTTGAAATATTAGTAAAAAACAATACATGTCAGATTGTTTTTTCTCTGATGTTTATTTGATATCCGTGAGTGTCTGGGACAACTTGCGTGTACTTCAACTAATTTCACAGGACACTAACCTAATTCTACTATTGTCGAGGATGTTGGTGACAACAGAAAACTGAATTGAGATTTAGAAGAGCAGTGATTTGAGTGATGGGGAGGGAGGGATTCTCGGAATTGGTTGAGATTTTTGTGGAGATTTGTGTGGATGATTTTGTGGATGAATTTGAATTCACCTCCTCCTCCTCTTCCGTAACTAATTCAAATTCTATTATTAGCTATTATTAGTTTCAACAAAGGAAACTTATAGGCGTGTCAAATGCTTATTATGCATTTAGGTGTGTTGTGGACACTTATTGAACATATTGAAGATACGTTCAGCATTTGCAAATGTATTAGACACCAAACACAGGGAAACATTCGCCAAACAAATTTCTGTTCTAATTTCTTATAAAATAATGTGTCATTGTGGCCAGCCTGATCATGTCCCATGTAAAGAAATGGTAGACATTTTAGAGGCTCTAAGAGATCTTACGGAATAGCTAGCTATCAAATCTACTACAAAAATGAAGAGTCACGTTGTCTCCCAATTTGAATCACAAGGATGCAACAACCAACAGTACGGTGATTAACCAATAGAGTGAAAACAATTCATCGCTTACAGAGACGGAAAACAAAAGCAGATAGTTTCATCGACACATTCTTCAAACCCACTACAGAAAATTCAGATTCGCCTAATAAATGTTGACTCTGGCAAATCGGATGTCGACGAAAAAAAAAATTGGCCGAAGGTTTCTTCGAAGGAAAAATTAGCGGAAGTAAAAGGAGAGAGAGAGAGAGATTCGCTGGTAATGCTGAAGACTCAATATATTATTTTACATCCGTTGAATGGTTTAAATAATAAATCTAATTACAAAAATAGAAAAACCAAATATACACAAATAGAATAAGTGGACGAAGACTCCGCCACTCTGCCAAAACAATGGCCCCTAGAATCACGCTCCTCCATTCGCGTGAACTCATATGTTTTTACAAACCTAACTAAATAAGGCAGAGCTTTTATTTAACAATCTCCTCCTAAAAGCTGTACCTTATTATTTGAACTCCGATCTTTGAGCGTAGTTCTTCAAATTTCACCCGCGCCAGGGATTTGGTGAAAATGTCTCCAAGTTGTTCCTCTGTTCGGATGAAATCAATTTTGATGAGCCCTCGATCTGCACATTCTCGAATGTAGTGGAATCTGATTTCTATGTGCTTGCTCCGGTCGTGCAAAACTGGATTTTTGATCAGGGAGATCGTAGCTTTGTTGTCTATGTATAGCATTGGTGGATCGCTTTCTCTCCCGATGATTTCTTCCATTAGTCGTGCAAGCCAGATCCCTTGAGTTGCTGCCATCGAAGCGGCGATGTATTCTGCTTCGCAGGAAGACAAAGCAACTACCTTCTGTTTTGTTGATTGCCAGCAGATCGCGCCGCCTGAGAGAAAGTAGATCATTCCGCTGGTGCTCTTACGATCATCAACGTCACCGGCCATGTCACTATCGCTGTAGCCGACCAGTTTGAGTTTCTCCTTTTCGCTCCCAGCGCAGTATCTTACGCCCCAGTCTCTGGTTCCGGCTACATAGCGCAGGATGCGCTTGACAGCCACTAGATGCTCCTCCCTAGGTGCTTCCATAAACCTACTCACATATCCAACAGAATAAGCAAGATCAGGACGAGAGTTTACCAGATAGCGCAGACTCCCGACAATGCTGCGGTAATTGGTGGAGTCGACTGTCGTCGTAGTGCCGGCCTTCCTTAGTTGAAGTCGGGCCTCCATTGGCGTCCTGGTAGGATTACTGTCCATAAGCCCAGTTGTGTCCAGCAGCTTTCTCGCGTATGCACTTTGGCAGATGGAGATGCCGGAAGAGTTCTGTTGCACTTCGATGCCGAGGTAGTAGCTGAGCACACCGAGATCGCTCATCTCGAAGTTTTTCGACATCTCCTTCTTGAACCTTCCGAGGACTCCCACGTCGCCTCCAGTGATTATGAGGTCGTCGACGTACACTCCCACGATCAGTCGCTTTTTGCCGTGGCCGTACGTGTACATGCCATGCTCAGAGGCACAACGTTTGAAATTCAGTGACAGTAGGGTACTGTCGAGCTTCGCGTTCCAGGCTCGTGGGGCTTGTCGAAGCCCGTAGAGTGCTTTGTGCAGGCGCAGTACCTTATTAGGGTTGTCGTTATCCAGGAAGCCAGGTGGTTGTCGAACATAGACGGTCTCCTTCAACTCTCCGTTAAGGAAAGCAGACTTTACGTCCATATGGTGAACCTCCCAAGAGTGATGTGCTGCAATTGCCAGCAGGAAACGAACGGATTCTAACCTTGCTACTGGCGCAAATACCTCTTCGAAATCCACTCCTTGCTTCTGGACGTAGCCCTTCGCCACCAGACGAGCCTTGTGCTTCACAACTTCTCCTTTTTCGTTGCGCTTCAGTTTGAAGACCCATTTGAGCCCTATGGCTCGGTGTCCCGGTGGCATATCCTCCAGACTCCACGTCTGGTTCTCAGTGATGGATGTCATCTCCTCCTGCATTGCCTTCCGCCAGCACGGGTTCTTTTCTGCTTCGGCGAAGGTGTTTGGTTCATCTGCACTGACGGCATGTAGTTCGGCCACTTCCTCGAGCTCGCGCGCTGCTAGTCCAGGTGGTTCACCTCCTCCCACTAGGTCATCCATCCTCCGGTACCTAGCCTCCAGATCAGTATCGTGATCGGCATCCAGCGTCGAATCCGCAGTCCGTGGTGTTGCGAATTCCACTGGTTCATGTGGTGCACCTGCTGGCGGCGGTGACGTCTCCTGATGCTGGGCTCCTCCTTCTTCAGGCTCAGTGACGAGGTACTCCACCGTGAATTGATTTGGATTACGGTCTGCCTCGATCACGTCATTCCACTGCCAGAAGGTGCTTTCGTCGAAGACGACGTCGCGAGACACGTGAGCTCGCCCCCCCACAGGATCATAGAGTCTGTACGCCTTGCTCCCGGGTTCGTAGCCGATGAAGACGACCTTCAGCCCCCTGGGATCGAGCTTGGCGAGATGGGGACGTGTTACCTTCATGTATGCGACGCAGCCGAACACGCGAAAATGGTGTACTGTTGGTTTTTTGTTGTACCAGGCTTCATATGGCGTCTTCCCGTCGAGGCTTCGGGTTGGTGACCGATTGAGGAGATAGACAGCCGTCATTACTGCCTCTCCCCAGAATCTCCCAGGCATCCCGGCCGTCACCAACAATGACCTCGCTGTCCCGACAATGGTCTGATTTCGGCGCTCTACCACTCCGTTCTGTTGGGGGGAGTAGGGCGCCGTTAGGTGCCGTTGTATGCCGACCTCATCGCAGTACTTACTGAAACTTGCCGAGGTGAATTCTCCGCCACGGTCTGTGCGCAGCACTCGCATCTTCTTCTCACATTCGGCCTCCGCTCGCGCTTTAATGCGCTTAACCGCCTCTGCCGCCTCACTTTTCGCTTGCAGCAAAGTCAGCCACATGAAGCGGCTTTTGTCATCGACTAACAGGAGGAAGAGACTCTTACCGCCTGGGGTCGCCGGCTTGATGGGCCCGCAAATATCGCCGTGTACAAGCTCCAATGGCTCATCGGCTCGGTAGGCTGTTCGAGACGGAAAGGGTGTGCGCTTCTGTTTGCCGATGAGGCACCCGTCGCACAGCTTGTTCACGCCTTTGATTTCTGGCAAGCCGTGCACCAACTCCTTCTTCTGTAACTTTTCTAGGGCAGGAAAGTTTAAGTGTCCGTACCTTGCGTGCCACCTCCAAGATACCTCTTCGGTCTTGGCCGAGAGGCTAATGGGTTGGTCTATCTCTAACTCCAGGATGTAAAGACGGTTTGTGGTTCGTCTTGCCTGCGTGAGCAGCCGTCGTTGATTATCGCAGATTTTCAGTAGTCCGCGCTCGATGGAAATGAAGCAGCCTGTCTCATCGAGCTGACCCAGGCTCACAAGGTTAGCCTTGAGCCTCGGGATGAAGTAGACGTCGGTCAGCTTGCGATGCTCGCCTCCCTTACTGACGAACAGGATGGTGCCGCGCCCTTCGATCTCGACGACGGAGCCGTCGCCGAATTTCACCGTCCCACGGATCCCCGAGTCGAGCTCGGAGAACGCAGATCTAGCCCCGGTCATATGGTTTGTTGCCCCTGTGTCAAGGATCCATTGCTGGTGCTCGTGTTGCTCGTCCCTTTCGCCGATCTGAGCGAACACTCGCTCCTCCTCCAGTTGAATTGGCTCCCCAGTTGGTGCCAGCTTTGCTACGCCCAACTGGAGCTCTTTCTTGGGTTCAAGATCGTCGTCGGAGTTGGAATCGAAATTGGGGACGCATGCGGTTACCATGAAGAGAGCTGGCTCGTCCTCCTCGGATTGAGCCACATGGGCCTGGGCCTTTTCGGCCTTCTCCTTATTCCTCAGCTTGCTCCAGCAATTTCTGCCCAGGTGTCCTCTCTTCCCACAGTTCGAGCAATGGATCGGCCTGCCATTGGTCGACTCCTTCTTTTGATTCTCATCTTTCCCGCGCGTGCGCCCGTGGGACATCCATGGCTTCTTACCGCCTTTGCGGCTGGAGGAGGACCCGTTGCTCTCGCCGGTGTTGTCGCGGAGCTTTAGGCGTGCAAGCCATTCCTCCTCCGTGAGGAGTAGACGGCCCTCCTTGTCAACAGCTGAAGTGATATTCTTCTTCCGCTGCTCGACGTTACGTAGTCTTCCGGTCACCTCTTCCACTGTTAGGTCGTTCACGTCAAGCAATGTCTCGATTGAAATCGCGACTTGCTCGAGGTGATCGGGAACGACCTGCAACATCTTCTTCACGATTTCTGTCTCGCTGATGCCACCACCGAGGGTGGTGATGCTGTTGGCGAGCCCCGTGATCCGCATTGAAAAATCATCGACGGATTCGCCGTCCTTAAAGCGAATCTCCGAGAGCTCCTTTCGCAGTTGCTCGATGTTGGATTCCCGCACTCGCTGTACACCGACCCGACGGGATTTGATTCCCTCCCAGGCCGATTGTGCGGTGCGCTTGGTGGAAAGAGAAGCCAGCATCTCTGGGGGCACAGATCGTAATATGGCGGCGAACGCCAGCCGATCCTCCCGGTACTCGATTGTTTCTCCTTCCTCTGGCTCGACAGCGTGCCATAACCCTTGCGCCTGTAGGTTAACACGCATCAACAAGGCCCACTCGTTGTAGTTGGACCTTGTCAACATCGGGTACTGAACGACGGCGGTCGTTGTCTCTCTGATCACTCGCTCAACAACTACTCGACGCCCGTCATCACGATGTCGGCCACGGCCTCTTCGTGGTGGTGATGGAGATGCCGGCACTTGGCGGCGTGGAGGAGTGAGCGAGCCTGCTTGAGATGGGCCCCACGATGTATTTATTTTTGTGCTTTGCATTTTCTTCTACTCGAACCTAAGACCTGTGTGTTATTAGATCGACGCTCTAACCACTTGAGCTATTCAACTTGTTTGTTGATAGGTTGGCTCCTCTGTGATGGTATACTACCGATCGCTTCAACCAGGCTCTGATACCACTTGTTGACTCTGGCAAATCGGATGTCGACGAAAAAAAAAATTGGCCGAAGGTTTCTTCGAAGGAAAAATTAGCGGAAGTAAAAGGAGAGAGAGAGAGAGATTCGCTGGTAATGCTGAAGACTCAATATATTATTTTACATCCGTTGAATGGTTTAAATAATAAATCTAATTACAAAAATAGAAAAACCAAATATACACAAATAGAATAAGTGGACGAAGACTCCGCCACTCTGCCAAAACAATGGCCCCTAGAATCACGCTCCTCCATTCGCGTGAACTCATATGTTTTTACAAACCTAACTAAATAAGGCAGAGCTTTTATTTAACAATAAATATATAGCACTGCCAAATGTTAGATAAAACCTGAGTTTTACCGTTTTTCTTATTCACACGATTTCAGAAAAATTTAGTTGGCCACTCTCCAGCCAATTTTAGAATTCTTTTTTACTTTAAATAGGAGATTTGTTCTGAACAAATAAAAACAACCTGAACGCAGTCAGAGTTATTTTTCTCTCTCCTTTTTGTTACGCATTTTCTCAATTTCCTCTCACCGAAATTCTGTGAAAACCAACACCAAACGCACAAAACAAACCCTCCGCCAATCGGGAAAAAGGCAGTCTTAAAATGAAATGGAGAAAGCACAGATAGATTTGAGCAATACACAAAATCGTCAAAATGTATCCTCCAAGGAAACATGGCATAAACGCTAGGGCAATCAACAGAAGAAGACCTAGAAATTCAATTCTTGAAAATGGGGAAAGAAAGGGCGATCAATAATCAGATTAAAGGGAGAAAAAAGTAAGAAAAATGAATGGATACCGGATGGAAGCACGGCCCCGTCTGCAGCAAATTGGAGTTTGAATGGGGAAAGGGAAGGCCAAGCTTCTCCGGGACTCCAGAATTAGGACCAACACAGAATCGATTCTGTGAACTGCAAGCGAATAAGCAAGCGAATAAGCAAGCTCCCATGAACTTGCTATTAATTAATATTGTTTTATATTTATCTTGTTTTTATAGGCGTGTTTTATGTTTTCTATTCAGGATTTTTTTATAAATATTATTAGTAAAATATAACATTTTTTTAAAACTATTTATAAAAAATATTATAGTTTAAACTAGATCACCCAATTGATTTAAGCGAGAGAAAAAAAAAAAAAAAAAAAAAACTTGTATTTCGTATGTTAATATTTACTCCCATTACAAGAATAAGCGCCGTGAAGTTAGAGTACATTGTACGATTATATAGAGACATATAAGTAATCCTGAGCAAATTATTTAATCTCTCTTTATAAACTTATTATTAAGAAAATTAATATTTTATTACGATGATATTTTAATCTTAAATAAATTATAAATTCATATTTTAGTAGGCATGAGTGAGAATGCCATTTTTAAAAAAATTCAATATTGGGACTTAGATCAATCAATCCTAAGTTTTGGTAAAAAAAAAAAAAAAAAAAAAGGGCCGAAGCTGTAGAGAAGCATGAGTTATTTAAGCATATGCGTTTCAAGCCTAATATGCAGTCTTTCTTGAGTCCTCAATTGGAGATATCAGACTGCGAACAGGGAAGTAGGAGCTTGGGCAATTTGAAAGGATGGAAACAAGTCAGTTCATGATGAAGGTATCCCAGATATTGGCTTGGGGAGGGTGATGGTTTGATGATCATTTTCATGTTATTACATGACTAATATGATTATGAACCATGAACACCTAAAACAAAGAAGAAAGAACATTCTGCAGTCATATTATTTGAACAAAAAAAAGTGAAACAGCAGAAGCACCAAAACATCATGTCAATTCTTCGTCATAATGCCATTTGTGAGTGAGTGTAGCATATTATGGTGCGGTTGCAATTTGAACATGATCGAGCATTACAGTGTCAACTACGTTCTGAAATTTAATTCAATGTACTGTACTGTGCGCGGGAAGGGCTGCTTCTTCAAGCAATTGAGCAAAAGGGGATCTCAAAACCAATAACAAGCAAAAATTTAGCAACAAAATTATTTCAAATTAAACACGGGTATCTATTGTCAATGATTCATCAAAACGATACACACCCAAACTGCACTTTTAAGATTTTAAGAAATCTTTCTAACCAGTGGTAGTATTTGGATTGCTTTGTTCATCTCATTTGAACGATTCCTGCGCTAATCAGCTTCTGCAACTTGTTCATCACCATTGGATTCTTGGTGTGTTCTTGAGCCGCCTTTGGATTTTCCTGGAAATCAGTCAATACCTACAAAAAAAAAAAAAAAAAAAAAAAAAAAAGCAGACACATGAATCAAATTCTTGGTGGCTAATGCGTGCACATCAGTCGTCCATGAATTACACATATGCTAACTAAGAACCAAACATACCTGTCTCATAACAGGATCGGTGAGTATATTTTGAATTTCTGGGTCGTGCATTGCTTTGGCCTAGAACATGAAGATCTTATCAGACCAATTCAAGAAACACTAGGCTAACTAAAAGCTCACTTCAAGCTCTTGGAAAACATGATATACCTGTCTTTCCTTCAATTCTTCAGGGGTCAAGTCCCCACGGCTTGCCTTGTTAACCTGTTCTACACATCTGCAATCAAGTTTTCAACTCAGTTAAAAGAGAATTTTTGTGAGATCCCACGTTGGTTAGAGAGGAGAACAAACCATTCTTTATAAGGGTGTGGAAACCTCTCCCTAGCAAACGCGTTTTAAAAACCTTGAGGAGAAGCCTAAACCCTAAACCCTAAACCCTAAACCCTAAACCCTAAACCCTAAAAACCTTGAGGGGAAGCCTCACAGGGAAAGTCCAAAGAGACAACCTAATAGACTATGCATACCTTCTCATACCATCCAGCAATTCTTGGTTTTTAGGATCATGTTTTAATCCCTCCTGGTAGGTTTCCAAAGCCTTTTCATATTCTTTCATGAAAAACTGAACTGCACCTTTCCTTGTATATCCCTTTACAAATGTAGGATCAAGCTCAATGCACTTCTCTGCATCCTTCAAACCCTCAGGCAATGCCCCCAACTTAGTATAGCAAGCAGCACGGTTACTATATGCCTGAAAAGAAATAATACATCAGATTACAACTTGCCTTAAGAACTAACTCAATCTCTTCAAAGACACCACTAATGCTCCGACCTTTGCATCCTTGGGGTTTCTTCTCAAGGATTCTGTGTAATGTTTCACGGCCTCGGGATATCGTTGCTGCTTAAAAAACTCATTCCCTGCAAAGAAATTATTAAACATAAAAAATCAAATGTGCATAACAGTGGTTGAAATATGAGAAATCAACAACAGAAAAAACTCACAAAATTGAGTGTCAGTTGATTGAAGGAAGTTAAAAAAAAAACATAACCCAAGATTAAATTTTTTTTTTTTTTTTTTTTTTTTTGATAAGAAACCCAAGATTAAAAATATAGCAGCTTATGGATTAATGAGGTAGAGTTTTTTGTTAAAAAAAAAAAGTTTTGGCTACAATTTGCCAATTAGCCAATTGCTTTAATCAAGTAATATCAAATACTCCAAATCTTACAGACTCCATCCATTCATTTATATTTCTTCTAAAAGAACAGAAATAAGGAACAAAAGCTAGAGGAAGGTCATACCTTTTTCCCGTTCCTCATCAGCTATCTTAGGATCAAAATACTCTTGTTGCTCCAAATCCTTCTTTGCTTTCTCAGCATCATTGAGTTTCTTCAGGGTGTCAGGATTTCTATGCTCAGTAAGAGCCTTCTGGAAAGTTTCAATAGCAAGATCATAATCCTTTGAACATTTTGCCAGTTTCACATAAGCTGTTCCTTTCCTGGTCAAAGCCCTTGCAATCATCTTAAAGTCTGACCTCAGCTCCCTACCCCTCTCAACAGCCTTATCACAATCTTTGATACAATCTTCGTACTACAGAGAAAGAACGAGCATATCTTAAGGTTTCACACTTCAAAATGCCTTCAAGGAGTTAATGCGAGGTGGGAAACCCATTTGGCACAGAATAAAAACATGATAAAAGTTTCTATAAGGCCCTCCTCCTATATAATTTGCATTCGAAATTTTCATTCGCCTAAAGTTCAAGGCCATCACTCAGTAACAGACAGACAGTGGACAGACACTTCCAAAACTTGCCTCACAACACATTATATAGGAATGGAAATAAATCAAGAAAGCCATCGACAGTAAACAACATGTAAAACCCATCACCTTTCCCATCTCCAAATAGACAGCAGCTCGATTTGTTAAGAAAGAGATGTCCTCATCGTCCAACTCAAATGCCTTAGTGTAATGATTAATTGCCTTTTCGAAATCCTTCTTCTTGTACGCCGCATTGCCCGCCTCCTTCTCCTTCTGTGCCTGCAGCTTCTTCTCCTTGGCCTCCTTCTCCTCCTCCACAGCTTCCATAGGCTCTGGCTCTGGCTCTGGCTCCTTCATCGGCTCGGCCTCAGCAGATCTTTTCCGTTCCGCCGGCGAAGAGGACGCCTCAGGAACATCAGCCTTCTCCTCCCCCGGATTATGCAACTTCAAGTTCAGCAAAACCCCTAACGCAGCCATCACTCTCTGATCCTTCAAATGCATATTGATGCTATTAGGGTTTCTCTGAATATCCTGCATTATATTCAAAAAATCCGGCTGCTGCAGAAAAGCCCTAGTAGTCGGATCAGCGGTCAGTTTAGCCCACATCTCAGGTCCAGAGAAAACATTTCCGAATGGATTCGGTGGAGGCACCGGCCGCGACCTGGAAGCCGCAGACTGAGCATCAGTCAGTCCAGATTTTAAAGCTTCATTGCTAGGATCAATCTCCAACCCCTTCTTATAAGCCGTTACAGCCGCCTCATGTTCTCCGAGACCGAGATGAGCAGCGCCGAGCCGGCCGTAACCCTTAGGCCAGTCCGGCTTCAACTCTACGGTCTTCTCAGCGTCAACCAAGGCCTCAGAATATCGATGGAGAGAAGCATAGGACGCAGATCGATTGGAATAGAGAACATGATTGGTAGGCGCAAGTTGAATGGCATCGGAAAAATGGCGGACGGCGGCGGAAAAGTCGCCGGCTGAGAACGCCGCATTGCCCTTGGCTTTGGCTTCGTCAGCCATAGAAAATTGTTCCGTCGGACGACAGAAATTGTGAGAAATCGGACAGAAACCGGCGGAAATGTTGCAGAGATTAAGGAAGATGAAAGAGAATTTTAATGGAAAAGAATTTGAGAGAGAGGATGGACGAAGAGAACAGAGTGTTCTCGTAGGTTTTTCTTGGATTCGAAAATGAACTTTTTGATTTTTGAAGGAGTTCTCGAATGTTCGATTGTCCTGGAAAATCTGGCTGTTTGGTAACGCAGCTAGCTTATCATCTATTGGAATAATAAATCATTTGTTTAAAATTGAGTCAATAATAGTCCATTGTCTTAATCATATATTTACATTATAGTCTTTCTATAAATAAAAAATATCCATAAATGACTAGATTTGGTCATTTATGAGCATTCTCTCTCATGCTTCAAGTTTCCATACTCTTATAAAAAAATGTTTCGTTCTCCTCCCCGATAGACGTGGGATCTCACATTCCACCCTTTTTGGGGTCAATGTCTTTACTGGCACTCATTCCCCTCTTCAATCATTTGCAGAAAAGCTCAAAATTTGGCTGGGAGAGCGGCGAGGGAGGGAGACTCTGCCTGTGCTGTTGCAGGGTGTGCCTACTCAAGTTTTGTTAGTTCTTTCCGAAAGGTACACTTCGATGTACTAAATTTTTGTTATTTAATGATTTAAACTTGGAAGGGTTTGAAAGAGGTTCACAAGCGTCATTGCCCAGGCTTTCGCCTATTGTCTAAGATTCTCCACTACTGCTCTCCATGGGAGTCTGGGTCGTGTCTTAGTCCCAGTGTGGTTGATCATCCGAAAAACCAACTAAGCGCTTGGTCAGCCTTTACCTGACCAACACCCTAATGCTACGCAGGCTCATCAAACAACGCTTTTTAGCTTGATTCAGAATTTGGCCCAAATTGTTCGACAGATTCCCATGGGTTATGCACCCATTCGCCGCAAGTTTATATATCAAATTATTACTTATGTGAAAATGAAAGACCAAAATTGCTTAAGAAAGAAAAAAGTCCAAATTATCGCTCGTGACTATATATTAATATATATCCTTTCAAGTCAATATTGTACTAACATTATTTTTACAATGTCCAACCAAATAAAATTTTGTAATTAGAAAAAAAAATTATACTATGTAATCTTATTTATCTCTCGTGTATGTTGCATGATAATTAAAATTTTAAATATCGAACTTTACAAAGTCACGACGCATTCTATTATATGATATATGTAATTTTGATTATCGGATGATTTGGATTAAATTTATTTTATTCCAAAATTAAGAAAATAAAAAACAAAATTTGGATAATTATAATTATTATATTTAAGGAGAAAAAAAAAAAAAGCAATAGCGGAAGCCAATTTGACCACTTCTTTTCAGTCTCTGCTAGTAACCTTTAAACTCTCCGACACACTCTACTTTCCCCAGAGCCGGTGACGGCAGCCGCCACTCCGCCGCCTGGATCGGCTGTGCTCGGCCGCAGCAATGCAATTTCTAACCTCCTCAAACTCCGACACCCCAACCGGAATCACGATCCGACCTGGGTAATCAAACCCATAAATCCTCTCGGCCGCCTGCAGCAATTTCCCAAACAGGGGATGGTTGAAGTAAATGACGGGAACAAGATGGCTCTCCGTTTGATCCTCGGGTCCGCCAACGTGCACGGAAAGATACCCTTTGGGCGGTGGAGGCGGAGGGGAGCGACGGCGTTCCAAGCGGCCGTAGCCGAGGCGGCGAGAAAAGGAAGCGGTGGCGAGGGAGAAGAGGTTGGAGAAGAGATTGGAGGATGGGGGAAGGTTGAAGATCTTGAGGAGCTTGATTTTCAATTTGAAACCTCTGGTTGTTCGCATGATTGGGGAAATGGGTTCTTTCTCAAAATTTGATGTTAATGGCTGCACAGCAAAATGGTGAGAGATTTTGTGAACAAAACAGGGGTTTTATAAGAAGAAGAAGAAGAACAAAATAGGGGATTTATTTTTCAATTATGGAATTCTTTTTTCTTGCTTTTTGGGTTTTCTTCTTTTAGTCTCTATCTTATTTACATCTTTTTAAATAATTAAATTTGTTTTTCAATTTTATTTTAAAATTTTGTGAGGAAATGTTTTAATAAATTTATTCATTTAATTTAGTTTTGTTTATATCACATTAACATGTTTTTATTAATTAATTAAATTAGTGTTAGAATTAATTTAATGAGGTCATAAATTCAAAACAGGAAAAAAAGAGAGTATAAATATAAAATATGCGACCAAAATGGGTAAATAAACATGAGAAATTAAAATTAAAATTAAAATTAAAATTAAAATTATAATGTATGATGTCAACTCAGCGGAACAGAAGTCCACGTTCTCCCCATCATGGGTTAGGCATAGATTTTGCAATGCAAACTACAAACTCAGCCACACACGTGTCCCCTCCACGTGTTTTTCTCTTCCTTGCGTTTAGGGTTTTCTAAGCCTTCTACCTTTATGTGTATTGTTTCATATTCATCCTATCTGGTTTTGAATGTTGTCTTCGCCAAATCCCTTTCTCTGATCTTGATCGGATAGTAACTCGTTTTGAATATTGTTTCTGACACATCCCCTTATTTGTTCTTGGTCGGATGGCAATGTGACAATATGTTTATCTTGAAAACGTTGTCACTCAAACAAATCTTCCATTCGAGGGAGAGGATCTTTATTCTTCACTATTGTATTATTCACCTCCGTGTAAGCAATATACAAACACATCAATCTATCATTCTTCTTCACAAATAGCACTTGTATGCACCAAGAGAATACGTCGAGACGGATGAGACAAGTACGCTTGGTAAATCCTCCAAAGTGAAAAGCATCCTAACGCCATGTCATGATGTGTTTATAAAATGATAGGTCCCACCATATAGTATCCGGTTGCATTTTCTGAGTATTTTCCAAAATACTCAAGCCATGTGCTACTTTTTTTTTCAAGTAAGGGTAAGGTACCCCTGTACAGATGGCGACATTACAATGAAGGCCATGAAACTAGAACTAAGGTAGTCTCATTTATTTCTGTTTAGTAGCCCTTAGGTTAGATCAACGGTTGTTTTGTTAATGAGAATGTTGTTTTAAAGAATTTCTTATGAAAGTTAAGTATATGGCATCTTTTATGAAACCTTTTCATAGATTTTATGCACATACTAGATATGTCATGCACGTAGTGACGTTTTTATTTTATTGAGAAAATAGGGCCATTATAGCGTACCTCATGGCTCCTACACGTGTCATAATTATAATTGTGATGTTATGCTATGCTATGTTGTGCTACATCATGATTATAACTATGTTATTATTAGATTTTGTTTGTTGTAGAATCACATTTATGATATTGATAATCTATGATGCACAAACCTCCATCACCACATCGTGTAAGCTATGCTAAGTACAAAAGATTTGGCAGAAATAATGTATGCATGAGTTATAGGCTCGTTATATTGTTAATGAATGTCAAGGAGTATGTATCTGAGCCCACCTAAGGAAGTACTACACATCCAACTATGCTCGGACTTGAAAGCAGCCTAAGGCCATGCCATGGTGTTTTTATAAAAGGATAGGTCTCTCTATATTGCATGTGTTTGCATTTTTCAACCCCAACAGTGAGATTACTTATGAAGTATTTCTTAAAATACTCAAGTCACGTATTACTCAGATAAAGATAATGCACCTTTGATATGTGGAAATCACTATAAGGGGAGTAAGATTCGAATTACCTTGTTGATCGAATATTTCAAGACAAGAACATTGTTTGAGATTCGAATCACTCCACAAGTAAGATCGATCATGTCTAGCATGAATGATTCTTGTTGATCAAATATCTCAAGACAAGGACACTTGATTGAGATTCGAATCACTCCATAAGCAAGATTGATCATGTCAAACTTGAATGATTCTACTTGCAACCTAAACTACATAGAATTGCAAAGAAACTTAGCCACGGCTAAAGAAAAGCACAAATGCTTTTTTTACTATATTTTCTAAGTCTACTTACAAATACAACATACATGGCTTTATATAAGCTCAAAATGAAACTATTAAAGGCAAAGAGCGGTAACATTCATATTAATGACCATAATTAACCATAATGTAATTGTAACCTAAATTAAATAAAAAGTCTTAAAATACATTAATGAAATAAAATAACTCTAAATTACTCTAAATGGTAATCCATCCAAAATTTATAACATGAAACATCATTCTTCTTCAATGTGGCATGAATTGAAATTTCTTTTGATAATTTCAACAATATTTTCTTCACATCTTCATTGAACTATATTGTATGATTGATGTCTCTTAGTTCATATCAACATTTGTATGGATGACGACATCATGATGAAGGTCATGGAACTAGAATTAGGATAGTAACATTCATGTCTATTTGGTAGTCCGGTTTTATTTTATTTAAATTCATGCTATTTATGTTTTGCCTTCTTATTTCATAACAATGTTGTTTTAAAGAATATATTATTCACGTTACTTTTAATAAATATTTTTTTATGTACATATTAGTCATGTCATGCATGTAGTGACGACCTTGTTTTTAATAGAAAACCGATGAAATAAAGGTCGAAAAGAAATTAAAAACGTCATCCAAGGTAATAAAAGGATGGTAAAGAAAATCCAACTCTTTTTAATGATATTAAAAAAAAGAAAGCAGGCTAGAATTAACCAAAATTAGAAGAAGTTAATAACGTGGTAACAAAAGAAATACCAAACCTTCAATAAATTACAAACCACTCACTTTATACTTTCTACTTCATTTGTTGGAAGAAAGCAACCCAAAATTTTAAAAACCTAGGGTTGGTAAATTCCAAAAACATAAATTATAAAAAAAAAAAAAAAAAAAAATCTCTATCATATTGGACTTTTTTTTTCCCCTTAATTGATAAATATATATTATAATTCACCAAAAATTGATGTAATGGTCTAAATTCACGATATTATTTGAAGTTCCCACACCCTTATAAGTAATTCTTTATCCCTAGATTCTTTGTGCGGGGATAAAATAACTGGAGTTAAGAACGTTAGTTGTAGCAAACAATCAAAGTACTTTAAAATCATCCGAGTTAGATTTTAAAATTTATTTAACCCTAATAATCGGATATAAAGGCAAAACCCAACTTAACAGAGACATAACTATAGGTTATCAATACTACGACCATGTAACAACTTGAGTAAAGAAAAAAGTCGACAACCCTAAAGTTGCTGGCTACAAACATCGAGCAAGCTCGGCTCCTCTCGCAACCTCTAGCTGCATGTCACCTGACTGAATTAGTCTCTAACTTCATCATCAACGTCCACAAAAGCATCAACAGCTCATCTTGCTGTTCACAATTGTGTCCAGCTCATGGTTGAGACTCCAGCTTTATGTCCAATTCCACGAAAAGGATTACATTATGCTAACCATTCATGTCTCAGGTCATCTTCCTCGACATTTCAGCTTTGTCTATGAGCATTCGATTATCCGTTATTCATTGTATACCATTATATAGTCAACTAGTTTTTTTCAGAATCATAATTCAATTAGTTAAAATATATCCATTAATTTTTTTTTTTTTTTGGAATAAATATTATATATATAATGTTTAAGCCGAATGGTAGAAAATAGCACAAAGGTAGTTGTTAATTAACTTATAGCCACTAACCAAACTGGCCAAGGAGGATTGCTTCTTCTGGAGAAGAGATGTTATGGAGACTTGAAAGCCTCCTCCATGACAGCCTACACAGTTATAAAACAAAGGCACACACCCTGCATCGGGCACGAGCCTGCCACAAAGCGAGGTGCAGTATCGTTATAACTAAGAAACCACCAAACCACAAAGAAACAGATGTTTAAGAAGTTTAACTGCTTAATCTTGTATATCACATCTACAGTTATGAGCCATCTAATTATATCATGGATCACAAATATTAATATATGAAATATACGCTAGAAACCACAAACCTCCACAATGGTATGATATTATCCATTTTGAATATAAGCTCTCAAGGTTTTGCTTTTGGTTCTCCAAAAGACCTCATACCAATGGAGATGTAATCCTTACTTATAAATTCATGATTATCCCCTTAATTAGTCAATGTGGGACTCCCTCCCAACCATCCTCAACAATAGACACCATATGAACTCCCAATAGGCTTGAAACTTTCAGTATGCCAAGTAAAGTAGCGTACTTGCTCATGGGAAACGTGGATCAAAATTATTCAGAAACTGAATTTCCATCCTCGAGTTCAGAAAAATATCAATTACATAACTAAAATAAGAAAAACTACAAAATCATTACGAGAAACACTAAAATTGAGCATTATGTTTCTGTGATAAACTTGGAACAATTCCAGGTCTAATCTAGAACAACCACATAATGGAAGTACCTTATAACGAATGGAGTAGCTGAAAACATCTAATTACCGATTCGTGCGGCAGTGGACAGAATTAGGCGACAAGTGTGCTAGCAGTAGTTGACTCGCTGAAACAAGGAGAAAAAAAACCAGTTAATCAATCAATGGGGAGGAAGGATGATAGTAGTTAATATATAAGAACTAAGTTTCAAATAGCAAAGCAAGAGAAAGGTTTCATTATCCTTCAACATCCAACCATAACTGGAAGTTGATTATAATGTGTTATTATCCCAGAATCCCTTTTAGGTGAAGAGAATAGTGCGACCCACAAAGCAAAACGAACGATACTTTGCATAAGGAGAGGAAATTTAACTCCATTTTTTGCATAAGGAGAGTAAATTTAACTCCATTTTAACGATTAGTAATTAGAGTGCTTAATATTGAGGATGGTTGGGAGAGGAGTCCCCCATCGACTAATTAAGGGGTTGATCATAGGTTTATAAGTAAGGAGTATATCTCCATTGGTATGGGGCCTTTTGGAGAAACCAAAAGCAAAATCATGAGAGCTTATGCTCAAAGTGGACAATATCATACTATTGTGGAGGTCCGTGATTCCTAACATGATATTAAAGCTAGGCGAGATTCACCACAATCTATGAAGATGGAAAGTTCAGCTCTCATGGTTTTGCCTTTTGGTTTCCCAAAAGGCCAACCAAATGACCTCATATCAATAAAGATGTGTTCCTTACTTATAACCTCATGATCAACCCCTTAATTAGCCGATTTGGGACTCCTCTCCCAACAATCCTCAATAATCCTCCCCTCGAACAAAGTACATCATAGAGCCTCCCCTAAAGCCTATGGAGCCCTCGAACAGCGATGTGAGACTCCTCTCCCAACAATTCTCAAATACTTAAAACACCAATCCATATTTAATTAAGTTCTAATACAGATGAAAAAATAAAAATAAAAACAAAATAAACTACAGAGATTCAGATCATTGAGCACTTACTATTTCCATACAGGTGGGAGCTTCTTGGTCTTCTTGTAGTAGCGGGCTAGCCGATGAATCCTGCTCTCGACAAGAATCAACCTGAACTTCGAGTCCTTGTCCTTCCTGTTCCTTTCCAAATGCTTTCTGATCGAGACGGCCTTCTTAATCAAATGGTAAAGATCCTCAGGAATCTCCGGAGCAAGCCCTTTTGATAACAATGCAAATCACAGCCATCAAAATACACGCTAACTTACCACTACACCAAAAGCTTAAACCAATAGACTAAGATACATTTAATCTTCTAATCTATTAAACATCAGTAGGGAGATTCAATGCCACCAAACACAAATTGGCGAATGAGCATCAGATATACTTTTAACTGTTAAGGTTAAAAAAAACATATAATTTTCAATTGAGAAACAACAGAAGCAAATACCATGAGCTTTAAGGATGCGCAAGATCTTGCTGCCAGTAACGCTCCTGACCTGAGCAATACCATGAGAATCACGAAGAATTACACCGATTTGAGACGGAGTCAAACCTTTCTTCGCAAACTTGCAGATGTTTTCCTCAACCTAATCACCACACACACAACATGGATTCAATAACTGCTCGTTTCGATCGAAGTATGCTGCAACTCAAACATTATAGATAATGGCACTTACATCTTGAGAAGAAATCTTGAGCCAACTCGGTGGAGTCCTCTTGTACGGCAATGCTGACGCCGAAATACCTTTTCTGCAACCACAAATGAGAGGAAGAATTGAGTCATTGAATCGGAGGGATTGGTAGATGAGAAATAGAATGAGAGTGAAAAGAGAGAAGAAGAGGAACTGACCCTCTGCTGTGCATACGACCCATTGTTGACGATTATGGTGAGCACGCAAAAGCTCTCTATCGTTGCCTCTCGACCAGACACGAAACCCTAGCTCTTATCAGATGGACCTTCGTTTTATAGTTTTACGGTTCTCCTAAATTATACAATTATCTCTAAATTACGTAAAAATCGTGAAATTAGTTTCAATAATAATACCTCTGAGGTTTTTAATATATGTATATATAATAGGTTAAGCTGTGAGTGGGGAGGAGAAGAAACTACTTTTATAAGTGTATGGAAACTAGTGGATACGTTTTAAAAACCTTCAGGGGAAGCTCGAAAGAAAAAATTCAAAGGGGACAATATCGGGTTGGGTTGTTACAAATGGTATTAGAACTAGACACCAGGTATTGTGCTAGTGAAGACGATGGGCCTAAAAAGGGGTGGATTATGAGATCACACACCGATTGGAGAGAATAACAAAACATCTTTATAAGGGTGGACACAGGGTGATGTGCCAACGAGGACGTTGGGCTCCAAAAAAGGGTTGATTGTGAGATCTCACATCAGTTGTAAGAGAGAACGAAACATTTTTTATAACAGCATGGAAGTCCCTCCCTAACATACGTACTTTAAACAGTCAAATATATGTTAGTGGCAAGCTTGAACTGTTACATTAGCTAACATAAATAATATGTCTATGCTCCCCTCCCCCTTCCCCTCTCAAACGGATTCTCCATGCACTAAATTAAATGGTCATTTGTAATTATATCTTATACCTTACTTATTATCAATCATCTACGGAATAATTTGTTTATAATGAAATTATAAATTAAGTACCTCTCGAGCTAGTAAATTGGGTGAGGTCCTATACTTTAAGTCCTAAAATCAGAACTCAGAATTTATACTAAGTTCTCAAAATTTAAAACGTCTGTGTTACATGAGTCACTTTCACCAATGCAAATCAAAGAACAACCACTTACATATGGTATATTATATTAATTTTCTTAATTAACAGATTTATAAGAAGAGATTAAATATTTTGTGATTAATATTATAAATTCATTGAGTTCGGTACTTTATTTACCTAATTTCACGTGAACGATTTGAATCAAATTATTTATAATAATTATAAAATTAATCGTCTGGATAAGACCGTCAATCTTATCCATATATTATAAATCATTTCTTGGACAGCTGCATATCAATTATAAAATAATAAAAATAATAATCAAGTACGAGGCTTTAATTAAAATGTTTTATTTTTATTTTTATCACAAGCGAAGTTTAATTCACTAATTTTCTTTTTTCGGTTATATTTCTATTTTCCCGTTCCATAAAAAAAAAAGCAAAAATACGTCACCTCCCACTCTCTGGCGAGCGTCGAAGGGAAAGGAAAACAGAGAGAAAAAAGAAAAATCAGAGCTCTGTGAAGATTCAAACCTAAATCGAAACCAGAGATGGGCAAAGATCTGAGCAATGATCAGAAATCCTCCATGAGAGAGGCCTTCACCCTCTTCGATACCGACGGCGATGGCCGGATCGCCCCATCGGAGCTCGGGATCCTAATGCGTTCTCTCGGCGGCAACCCCACTCAAGCCCAACTCAAAGCCATTATCGCCGAGGAGAATCTTACTTCTCCCTTTGATTTCAATCGCTTCCTTGAGATCATGTCCAAACACATGAAGCCCGAGTCCTTCGATCGCCAGCTTCGCGACGCCTTTAAGGTTCTCGACAAGGACAACACCGGCTACGTCCTGGTGTCCGAGCTCCGACACATTTTGACTAGTATAGGTGAGAAGCTGGAGCCGTCGGAGTTCGATGAGTGGATTCGAGAAGTGGAGGTTGGACCGGATGGTAAAATTCGGTATGAGGATTTCATTGCTCGAATGGTGGCCAAATGAGGAGGGAAGCTATGGAAAATTGGTTTTGTGTGCTTTACTCGACTGCTTTCTGAAGTAATTTGTGGCGATCTTTGTTGTTTCTCTTTTTTCCCTTTTCTTTCCAATTTCTGTTGATTGGTTTCAGATTACAAAACTTGCTTGGATTTTGGTGGGATGGATGCGGGTGATGTTCGCATACTTCCCCAAGTAATGCTAATATTATTTGGAAAGATTTAGGATTATATGGGATGAATGTGTGGATGGATTCGAGGTGTATTGAAAACTGTGGTTTTCTGGGTATCTTAGGATCTCTTGATTTGTATGTGTTTCATAGCTTAAATTGCTAAAAATGGTTAGCTTCTTCCGCAATTTACTGTTCCGATGGTTGATTTTTCTGCCGGCCCTTTAAGTTAGTGAGACTGAGTTAGTGCCTTCATGTTCACTATGCCATGTTTTACTTTGTAAGATCTGAAAGATTAATTAATCTTCTATTCTTTCATTTGGCATAGCCTTTTCTTTCTACATTAGCCTCCTGAGATATGCATATGTGTTATCTTCCAATCCTCCTGATATATTTTTGGTGTTCTAGGATTAATTATAGTTTATGTTTGAAATGTGTGAAGGATCTGTTGCTCAACGTAAGAGTTTCTAATGCAGTGAATTGAGTCAAAAAATGCGGCCGAGGTTGGTTCTAGCCTCCATTTTTATTCTATGTACTTTTTTTCAACTAGATTCCTCTCAATTTCAACAAGAGATCATTGATGCATGAATGGGATGCACAGATTCTTTTAAAACTTGCATCTTGTATTTGAGATTCTATACCTTCTGTTGGGTTCTGAGACGATAGAGTAAAGTCTTTAGTCGTTCGGCTGGGAGGTACAGGAAATCAGTTCCGGACCTTTAGTGTTCTTTTTTACCATATAGCTTTTTAACATTCTTTTTCTTAAGAGTTATGAGGAAACATTGTAGTTTATACCTCAGGATCATAGTTTTGCTCTCTGTTCGAATTCTGTGCATTTATTGGATTTAGAATGAATAAGCTTTTGAAGGTTCTAAGTTATCTTCGTTGGATACTGGGTTGAGGTTTGTGGTGCCGTTTAACATGGATCTGTTTGGAATGTTACATTCCGAGTATGATTACTTCATATCCCAACTAGTGAGAGTCTGCCTTTTGCCTTGAAAAAACCATGTACTTCGGAAGTTCATAGCCGAGTTTTATGAGAAAATTCATGGATCTTGTAAGCTGATCGGAGGAATAGAAAATTAAATGGAGTCTTTGCTTTAAACAATTTTGTAGGTCTTGTACTTAAGGAATTAGGAACTTATGACTAGTAGGGTTAAGACCTCTCCATAAAATGGAGGCTTTTTTGTTTATTATGTAAAGCTTTATGTAGATCTTGTAAAACGTTAACTGCACTTTATGGATACCAAGAAACAGAGCTGGTCTGTGGATCATATCGATGACTCAGGTTGATGGATATACTCCAGTCAGGTATAAAGCTTCAATTTGAGTTGAGACGACCTTTAGTTCTTATTTAGTGATCACTTTTTTACCATGGATCAAAGTTGGATATAGAGGGTGGGTTCTTGATCATTCGAGGACTTCCTCGTGCGAGTTGGGGACTTGTATCTTAACTTCTTACCGGCAATCCCATACTTCATAACAATCTTGTAATGGGCCAAGCCCACCGCTAGCAAATATTGTCCTCTTTGGGCTTTCCCTTTCGGACTTCCCTTCCAAGGTTTTTAAAACCCGTATGCTAGGAAGAGGTTTCCACACCCTTGTAGAAAATATTTCGTTCTCCTTTCCAACCGATGTGGGATCTCACAAATCTGATCAGGGATATTTGGACAGGAAACCACCCCCCCACCACATACGCGCGCACAGATTTAAATGACTTTTTTGTGGTTTCCTGAACTTGAAGATATTAATGTTGAATTCAAAGTATGAATCCACTCATTTTTCTATCTTCTCATCATTGTGTTCAGTAGTTCTACAGTGTAATATTAGTAGAGCTCTACCCTCGAATTGGAAGGTGCTTTTGTAACCTTCCATTGGGTCTGTGAAATTTCTTTCCTCAGTTGTTTAACATGCATATATTTTGATCATGGAATAAGATGAAGAAGTTGCTTGTGATTGAGTTTATTTTCATTTTGTGTGAAATTTTTCCTCATTACTTTGGGATCCTGATGGACAGCAGGTCTTCAACCCTACGCATATCTGTTGCATATTGCTTTGACCAGTTTAGCTGGTTACCTTATGTGTAGCCCTTTATATTCTTTTATATGCATCTTCTAGATAAACCATAGGCCAAAATTACATTTCATACATCCTTAGTGTTCGGTACTCCGACTTGCTGATTATGCTTCTCTTTCTCTTACAATATTGCATTTGTCGCAATAAATAAAGAACAGAGATTCGAACCTATGCCTTATAAAGTGAGACATTAGATGTCTAACAAATTGAACCATATGTTTAGGTTGGTAGCTCTTATGTTAGTTGAGATATGTAGAAGGTGCTGCTGTTTTGGCTTAAAACTCATTCATACTGTTGATGCTGCCATATTAAGGGCTAATTGTTTCTAGTTACTCTTCTAATATGAGCAGTTTTTGTGAGATCTTACGTCGGTTGGAGAGTGAAATGAAATATTCTTTATAAGAGTGTGGAAACATCTCTCTAGCAGATGCATTTTAAAACCTTGAGGAAAAACTCGAAAGATAAAGTCCAAAGAGACAATACTGGTTAACATTTGGTTTGAGCTGTTACAATTTTGATTACCCGCCAAGGGTATATAGATTTTCGACTGCACCATTATTTTGAATTGACTATGTTTGAATTGTACTGTCATTAAAGCATGCATCTGACCAAAGCTGCTGTTTGTTTTAGGGAAAAGGCATGTGAAATATGTATATCTTTCTTGAAAATAAAGGCCCTTTGGCTCTCTTAAAGAGATTTTTCTCTTTATTTTCTTTCCATATGGCTGATCATGTGCCTTCAGGAGATATAAGCAGGTTCGTTCGATTCCAGACCCATATCGGTTAAATTACTACTTTTAAGTCCTTGAAGTTTTAAGTTTGTGTTTAAAGGCATTTCGAACTTTATATATTAAAAATTTGAGTTTTTTTTTTTTTTTTTTTTAATTTCGGAACAAAAATGTTGTATTGTTTTATTATTATTTATGAAAGACAGATTTTTATAAAGAAAAATAAGTTTAATTTAATATAATAGCTTTAAATGTTTCATTAAAAAATGAATAAATAAATAAATAAATAATTGGGTAAGTCAAGCTTGAAATTTTAGGAAATTAGTCATAAATTGTAGACCCTTATTTTCCCGCAATTGGTGGTAAGGTAACCTTTGAAATTTCAACCACAAAATATCACTCGGAAAAGTGCTGGCAACAGAAGGAAGGGGTCCATGTAGCTGCTGCGCCCGCCCCCTTCTTAGTCAATGGGGCAGCAGGTTCGACATCCACTAGAAAAGAGAGAATCCACTTCAGATAACCATGCCTCTGCTAGGCGGTAGCGTGTGGAATAGCCGAGAGCGGACCTTTTTGGATATATAATCCAAGTCGAGAACCTTTTCCACGTTAACAATTCCCACTAATCCATTCCCCATTTTCTTTCATTAAGCTTCGTTTGTACGTACTCATATGCTTATTGGAATAAATTTCAAGAGATGCATCTTGTTCGTATAGATACTAATATTATTTTTTTTAAACATTTTTTAATTATCATATCTTTAAGATCACTATCATTCAGATGTGATATCGATTCATTTATGCATCATCTTTGCACTATTATTGTCTCTTGATCTTTCGATGATCATCGATAACTATTGATACCTTCATCCATCTAATAATCAAACAAAAATTAATATGATAAAGCATATTAGTGTTCATCCAAATAATTATTGTAACAAGGACATGGTGCAATATTAATTAATTAAGTAATAGTATCATCAAACTATAGAAAAGTCAATGTCATAAATGATCTCGAACATTGAACATTCCATCCAAATTCAAAATTTAAAATTTAAAATTATATATCTTTTTACTCCTTTCTCTCTCAAATCAAAGGTTGTTCAAAAATGGAAATAAAACAAAATAAAAAACAAAAAGGTAAATGTTGATAAAAGTGAGAGAATGAAAATGATGGGCCATGTTCGTGTTCGTGTTGTTTTTTTTCGTATAAATTTTTACACTGTTCGTTACTACTCACAACGCATCACTACAATTAGATTGGTTACAAACGTTAAATATTATTGATATATTTAAAATATGGGTTGTAGTCAAGTTGATCAGACCAAAAAATGTCAACCCGCAAATCGAACTGAATTTTTTCAGTTTTTCAAAAAATTCAATCTAATTTGAATCAAAAAGAATCTTATCGGATAATTTAGGTTAGTCAGGTCATATGAATACCCATAAAAAATTATTTTTATATTTAATAAATTAGTTAATTATTAAAAAAAAATTAAAATTAAAAGTTCCAAAATTGCCCCTGTTTTAAAAAGAGTTTGGCGGTAGAGTTAGTTGAAAAGTAACCTTTTTTCCTTAGCTTTGTGCTTTTTCTTTTACTTCCATTAAACGTAAACAAAGAGAATCCAACTTTATTTTCTCCTTTTAACTGATTTTTAATCATTTCATTTATTCAAATTCAAATTTTTTTCTTTTTAATATTTTAATCAAAAGGAATATCTCTTTTTGGTATTTATTTAATGTTTTCAGTTTTTAAATTTGGCATTATCTGAAGTTGAATTAGGTCTTTTCTACCGGGACATAAATCATTTAAGTTTAAATATGACATTTGAGTAAAGGAGAAGTACATGAATGAACTGAGACTACATTCACATAAGATAGATCTTGAGGATAGGATAACAAAAAAAAAAAAAAAAAAAAAAAACTAAAAGAATGTACAAATTTTTTTAATTCCTCAATCATACAAACTCTAAACTTAAGTATGTTTTGATTGAAACAATAAGAATCATAAATCAAACGATTATGCATGTGAGATCCCACATCGATTGAAAAAAAGAACGAATGGCAAGTGGTGGACTGTGAGATCCCATATCGATCGGGGAATGAATACTAGGGAGGATGACCCTGAAGGTGGTGGATTGTGAGATATTATATCGGTTGGAGAAGGAAACGAAATATTTTTTTTAAGAATGTGAAAAATCTGTCTCTAGCAAATGCGTTTTAAAATCTTTAAGGAAAAGCTTGAAAGGGAAAGTCCAAAGAAGACAATATTTACTAGCAGTGGGTTTCGGTTCTTACCGGGCATATGTATAAAAAAAAAGAAAATTGGGAGTACGTAAGAAAGCTGGAATCCAAAAGAAGGGTCCTTGGTTTAATAAATGGGACATGGAAATGTCAACACCATGTGGAAGCCCATACTATATACTAAAAATTAAATGTTAGGTCATTTTCCAATACATTTATATATATATTTTTTTTTAAATTAATTTAATTTAAATTAAATGTTAGGTTCCCCAACTTGTTGACCTAAAGACTACCCCAAGAATGTCAGCAGCCCTAGAAGACTCTACGCTGTCGTTTTATAATATTTTATTAGGATTTATTTTATTACCTTTCTTACCTTTCTATTAGTTTTTTTTTTTTTTTTTTCATTAAAAAAAGATGATTTAATTTTGGTTTAATAAACTATTAAAATTTAAAATAGATTTAAAAAGAAAAAAAGGCAGAAAAAGAAATAGGAAATTAAAGTCAATATTATTTATTACATCATAAATGACTAGCCTTGAAGTCACGACATCAAATACTTCCAAACGGGCAGTTACCCAATCAACACGAAGACAACATCTTTGACTGTTGCCACGTCACAATGTAAATGCTAAATCAACGACTAGAAATTCCCTAAAAAATCACAGCTCTCACAGCCCGTAATTTTAGCATTTCCCTTCCCTTTCAAATCTAAAACCCGAATCCTTATGTGAATGTGTCAGCAACTCCCACGACTAAAAAAACCCCAATTCTAATTTACCAAATTGCCCCTCTTTTTGAATTCCCTTTCTACATACTCTGTTTCTCTCTCACTTCTCTTCTTCTTCTTCTTCTTCTTCTTCTTCTTCCTCCAATTCGTTCTGAAAGTTCAGAGAATGAAACCCATTGAAAAATAAGAAGAAATTCGAAGTGAAAACTCAGAAAATTTGAGGGAGTTTGAGGGATATTTAAAAAAACGAAATGGGTTCTTCATAAACGACGAAACAGAGGAGTTTGAATCTCATAAAAAAAAATCTAAGAACAATCATGGGGTTTCTTAATTCCGCCATTTTTATGTTCTTCGTAGCTTCCTTTTTATTTTCTCAACTTGTTTATGGAAATTCCGAAGTGAAAGCGCTGATGCAGTTGAAGGCATCTCTAGACCCAGAAAACAGAGTATTGAAGTCATGGACGATCGACAGCGACCATTGCAGCGGTGCGTTCGACGGCGTGGCTTGCAACGAGCATCGGAAAGTAGCCAACATATCATTACAAGGACGAGGGCTCTCTGGCACAGTGTCGCCGGCGGTAGCGGAGCTGAAATGTCTTTCTGGACTGTTCTTGCATTACAACAATTTGTCTGGAGAGATTCCCAGAGAGATTTCGAGCTTAACTGAACTTGCTGATCTTTATCTCGATGTTAACAGCTTCACCGGAAACATCCCTGAAGAGATCGGAAACATGTCTAATCTGCAAGGTTTGTTTTGTTCTCTGTCCATTTGAAACCAGCTTCACCGGCGACAACCCTGAAAAGATTCGATCTTTGTTTGTTTGTTTGTTTTGTGCAGTGTTACAGATTTGTTGCAACAAATTGAGTGGAAAAATCCCACCACAGATTGGATCATTGAAGAAGCTAACAGTTCTTGCTTTACAACACAACAGATTAAGCGGCGAAATCCCTAAATCCATTGGAAGCTTAGAAATGCTTAAAAGACTTTATTTAAGCTTCAATAACTTCACCGGCACAATTCCGTTCAAAATATCAACAATTCCCCAGCTGGAAGTTCTTGACGTCAAGAACAACTCCCTCTCCGGCCACGTCCCTGCCGGTAATGTCCCTTTCTCTTCCTCTGTTTCCTCCTCTGTTTCTTCTTTTTTATGTGTTTTTTGATTCAATTCCGTGAATGAAAATGAAGGTTTGAGAAGATTAAATGAAGGGTTTCAAGGAGAAAACAATCCTGGTTTATGTGGAAATGGGTTTATAACAGTGAGAAATTGTACCGTTTTTGACAATGAAAACATCAAAGGAGAAGGGTTTCCGCCATTTTTATCAGAACCAAACGCTACCGCTCAAAGGGACATCCCGGAATCTGCTGACTTCTCCAATGCCAAATGCAATCAATTTCATTGCTCAAAAAATCCCAGAAGAGTTCCAAAAATTGTTGTTGTTTCTGCTGTTCTTATCATCTCTGTGATCTTCTTAGTGTCTGTGATCCTCTCTCTGTTTTGGTACCGTCGTCGTAAACAGAAGATCGGTAACTCATCGGCTTCGTGCGACGATCGGCTCAGCATGGATCAGGCTCGAGAGCTCTACTCGAAGAGTGCTTCGCCGTTGGTGTGTCTTGAGTATTCTCATGGATGGGATTCACTGGCTGATGGGATCAAAGGATTGGGATTGTCTCAGTATCTTAGTAAGTTTATTTTCAATATTGAAGAGGTTGAATCTGCTACTCAGTACTTCTCTGAGGCTAATTTGGTTGGTAGAAGCAGTTTTTCAATGGTTTATAAAGGAGTTTTGAAGGATGGTTCATCTGTAGCCATTACGAGTATTAGTATGACTAGTTGCAAGTCCGATGAAGCCGAGTTTCTTCGCGGATTGAACTTGTTGAGCTCTCTACGACACGAAAATCTCGTTAGTTTGCGAGGCTTCTGTTGTTCGAGGGGTCGAGGTGAGTTCTTCCTCGTATACGATTTTGCCTCGAGAGGGAGCTTGTCTCGGTATTTGGACGTCGAAGATGGTAGCAGCCATGTTCTTGATTGGTCTAAGAGAGTTTCTATAATCAATGGCATTGCAAAAGGTTTGATACTTTACTTTCATCCCCTAGACGATAATCGATACTCAAATGTTTCGTTCTAAGGTCGTTTCTTGTTTTCGTGTCAGGCATTGCATATTTACATCGCCAAGAAGTAGACAAACCGGCCATGGTACACAAAAACATATCCGTTGAGAAGATTCTCATCGATCATCAGTTCAATGCGTTGATCTCGAACACTGGCATCTCTGGACTCCTTGCTGATGACATTATCTTTTCATCACTCAAAACGAGTGCAGCCATGGGATATCTCGCACCTGAATACATTACGATCGGTCGTTTTACTGAGAAGAGTGATATATACGCATTTGGGGTCGTTATATTTCAAATTCTTTCTGGGACTCGAAAACTTTCAACGTCTCTTCTATTGGAAGCCGAAGTTTGCAAATTCGAGGATTTTATCGATAAGAATCTGAAGGGAAACTTCTGTGTAGCCGAAGCTACCAAGCTAGCCAATCTTGCACTGTCATGTACCAATGAGCTGCCCCTCAACAGGCCAACCATTGAAGAATTGATAAAGGAGCTAACCAAAACTTAGTTACCTTTATTGTGGTTCTCTCTCGGGCCGACGATGATCGAACCGAGCTCCATTGTTGGAAGCTTCAATCTTCTTCTGCAAACTGAGATGCATATTGATAAGGAAGAAGAACATGTAAATGTGGAAAATCTTTGTATAATAACATCAGTTGGCTACATCTTCCATTTAGAACTGCAATTTCTTTTTCTATAAAATTTGGACCAACTAACTCCACAACAAAAGTCTGACTTCCCCTTGAATCACATTTGTCTCATTAGTCCTACTAGGTCGAAATTCGTTTGAGAATTTGATTATGAAAGACGTACGTGTGAGAATTTCACCCAAGTTTCAAGAAATAAGAATTGGGTTTAGATTTGAATATCCAAAATATAATTCAAAATCTCGTTTGAGCTTTCACTTGGGCTTCCTTTAAATTGGAATGTTTTGTTCTTCTCTTCAATCTACGTGGGATCTTACAATCCACCTCCTTCAAAGTTCAGCATCTTGGCTGGCACACGGCTCGATGTCTACTCCCTTCGAGGCCCAGTATCCCTGCTAATACACTGCCTGATGTCTAGCTATGATACTATTTGTAACAACCCAAACTCACTGCTAACCGATATTGTCTTTTTAGGTTCTATTTCAGAGATGAGTTGTCGGAGCAAAATCCATGACGAATTTTGTATCCATGAACGAGGGATTAGGCAAACTAGAAAGTGGGTCTTTTATCAAATCATGGTATCATCAAAATCATCATATCAACATTCACTTTACTGTCTATAATATGTGTAATTAATTATTAGATGATATTACTAATTATTTACCATTAATTAATTAATTTATTTTTATTTAATTTTATTAAAATCATTTATTTGAGAATAATTAACTAATGTGATAAAATGGTTAGAAGTAAGGATAAAATAAGTATATATATGAAATTTTGATATCATTTTTTGAACGACATTTTATTTTTCAATAATTTAAACAAAATCTTAAATTAAATAGGGGTAGGATCCGGTGAGCAGACGGCTTGAATGACCTATTCAAATTTGGAAAAGCTGATCGGAACCGTCGTAACAGTGGAGATTACAGCGAAATGTGGCCGAATCTGCGAAAGACACTTAGGATTATGATTATTGGTGAAGATTATTGAGAGAAAGAAACTTAAGATTGTGATTATTGGAGAAGATTATTGAGAGGAGAAACTTGTGATTTTTCTTAAAATTAAATTTTAACTAAATTATCAGATTTAATTAAGGATTTGAAGATAAATAAATATTTGTATTTGATAATACTTGTTTAGTGTTTGCTATGATGTAGGTATATTACACGGTAGAACTTGATATAGTATGTTATGCTGTAATTATGAGATATACTATGTTATGGAATATTTTGTTGATACGCTGTGTCATATGAAATTTTGCTATATTATGGAGAGTGTTATACTATATTATGCATTAGAGAGAGGAAATGATTAAGTTAAGTATGAAATGAACAATGGTATAACTTGCATCATAAATACATGTTATGATTTTAGACTATGGACATCTTATGTATATTGGTATTCACTTGCATTGAGATAATTTCTCGCTATGATTAGTATGAACGTGTACACTATGATGTTATGATACAATGTTTGTTTAAGTTGAAATGCGTTTATTACCGTTAGAAATTGTACAGTTTTTGACAATGAAAACATCAAAGAAGAAGGGTTTCCGCCATTTTTATCAGAACCAAACGCTACTGCTCAAAGGGACATCCCTGAATCTGCTGACTTCTCCAATGCCAACTGCAATCAATTTCATTGCTAAAAAAATCCCAGAAGAGTTACAAAAATTGTTGTTGTTTCTGCTGTTCTTATCATCCGTGTGATCTTCATAGTGTATGTGATCCTCTCTCTGTTTTGGTACCGTCGTCGTAAAAAGAAGATCGGTAACTCATCGATTTCGTACAACGATCGGCTCAGCATGGATCAGGCTCGAGAGATCTACTCGAAGAGTTCTTCGCCGTTGGTTTTTCTTGAGTATTCTCATGGATGGGATTTACTGGCTGATGATTAAAGGATTGGGATTGCCTCAGTATCTTAGCAAGTTTATTTTTAATATTGAAGAGGTTGAATCTGCTACTCGGTACTTCTCCGAGGCTAATTTGGTTGGTAGAACCAGTTTTTCAATGGTTTATAAAGGAATTTTGAAGGATGGTTCATCTGTAGCCATTACGAGTATTAGTATGACTAGTTGCAAGTCTGATGAAGCCGAGTTTCTTCGAGGATTGAACTTGTTGAGCTCCCTACGACACGAAAACCTCGTTAGTTTGCGAGGCTTTTGTTGTTCGAGGGGTCAAGGTGGATTCTTCCTCATATATGATTTTGCCTCGAGAGGGAGCTTGTCTCGGTATTTGGACGTCGAAGATGGTAGCAGCCATGTTCTTGATTGGTCTAAGAGAGTTTCTATCATCAATGGCATTGCAAAAGGTTTGATACTATTTTCATCCCCCATACGATAATCGATACTCAAATGATTCGTTCTAAGGTCGTTTCTTGTTTTCGTGTCGGGCATTGCATATTTACATAGCCAAGAATTAGACAAACCGGCCATGGTACACCAAAACATATCCATTGAGAAGATTCTCATCGATCATCAGCTCAATGCGTTGATGTCGAACACTAGCATCTTTGGACTTCTTGCCGATAACATTATCTTTTCGTCACTCAAAACGAGTGCAGCCATGGGATATCTTGCACCTGAATACATTACGATCGGTTGTTTTACAGAGAAGAGTGACATATACGCATATGGGGTCGTCATATTTCAAATTCTTTCTAGGACACGAAAACTTTCAACGTCTCTTCTATTGGAAGCCTAAGTTTGCAAATTCGAGGATTTTATAGATAAGAACCTAAAGGGAAATTTCTATGTAGCTCAAGCTACTAAGCTAGCCAATCTTGCATTGTCATGTACCAATGAGCTGCCCCCTCAACCGGCCAACTGTGAATGTTTGCATAATCAATCACACTTAAATTGTGTGAAAGTTATCTTATTTATAATCAAATAAATTACGAGGATATGGAAATAGTAATAAATGGAAATAACAATAAATATGGAAATATACATATGCTAATAAGGTAAATATCTAATATTTGCCTTATAATAAAATATCAAATATGATATATATGGTAAACTATAATTTATTACTAAATATCCTTAACATTCCACTGCAAGCTGAGTGTCGAATTTGAATGAACGTGAAGCTTGGATCTGAAAAATTCAAAAAGAGGTTGAGAAACATTTTTCATGAATATGTCAACAACCTGGTTCGGAGAAGGCGTAAAAAAACACTTTCTTGGCCATCGAAAATTGCAGAGGGATCGCTGCTCAGCAACGATGCTGCCTTGGCTTCTGCGAGAATATGTCTAACCCATGAAGAGGGATTGTTACTTAGCGACAATTCTGCCTTGACTCTGGTGAGAATATGTCTAACCTCAAGAAGTAGAAGTGGAAACCTAGAGCAAGGGATAAAGACAATGTTGAAGCCAAAAGAGTTGCCACATTGGGCGAAGGAGCCAATTTTGGCGAGAAGGCCAGCGAGAACTTGGTTGGCGAAGAGGCCAGTGCGGCGCCAAGATTCCAAAGGTAAATCTCTGCATAAGATCGATGGGCTTATCGAGATTCTGTATATTTCCGAAGAAAACGCTGATGAAGATCCTAAGATTAGGGTTTCTGTGAAGGATGAAGGGTGAAGGGAAAATTGGGAAGAAAATGAAAGAGACTATTTCGGCTAAGGGGAAAACTGATTGGGTTGGAAAATGTGAGGTTGTATGTACAGAGTATGGCGAAAGGTGATTTGGAGATCATAGGGTGAGCCGAAGAGTAATCAATCGGCTCCGACTGCGGCAGCCATGAAGACTGCCCGTGCGGTGTCAAAGCCAGCATGGGTGGTGGAGAAGAAGAGTAGTGGATTCAAAAGCCATTGAAAAGAAAGAATCGAGGTTGTTAAACTGATGAAAGGGCTCTGATACCATGTAAATGTTTGCATAATCCAACACAACTAAATGGTGTGAAAGTTATCTTATTTATAATCAAATAAATTACGAGGATATAGAAATATTAATAAATGGAAATAACAATAAATATGGAAAGATACCTATGTTAATAAGGCAAATATTAGATATTTGTCTTATAATAAAATATAAAATATGATATATATGGTAAACTATAATTTATTACTAAATATCTTTAACACCAACCATTGAAGATTTGATGAAGGAGCTAACCAAAACTTAGTTACCTTTATTCTGGTTCTCTCTCTCGGGCCGACGATGATCGAACTGAGCCTTCATGGTTGGAAGCTTCAATCTTCTTCTGCAAACTGAGATGCATATTGATAAGGAAGAAGAACATGTAAATGTGGAAAATCTTATTGTATAATAACATGAGTTGGCTACACCTCCCATTTAGAACAGCAGTTTCTTTTTTTTTTTTTTGTGAAACTTGGACTAACTAACTTCACCACCCTTATAAATAATGTATCGTTTCTTTCTCCAATCGATGTGGGATTTCACAATCCATATCTTTTAGGGCCCGCGTTCTCGTTGACACTTGATGCTCTTCAATTGATGTGGTATCTTACAATGCACCCATTTTGGGGCTTAGCGTCGTTGCCGACACTCGTTCCTCTCTCCAATCGATATAAGATCTCACAATCTATCCCCATTAAGGGCCAACGTCTTCGATGGCACATCGGGTCCAACATCTTTGCTGGCACACCATCAGATGTCAACCTCCTTCGGAGCTTAGCGTCTTCATTGGCATACCGGCCCAATGTCTAGCTCTGATACCATTTGTAACCGTCTAAACTCACCGTTAGCAGATATTGTCCTCATTAGGCTTTTTCTTTCAGACCTCCCCTCAAGGTTTTTAAAACCCGTAAGCTAGGTGTCACAATCGCACTTTTGATGGCAGTGGACTTGCGATTGTGCGACACTCACTTTCCAACAACAAGTGAGCTAAGCCAATTCATTCTTGCATCACCTACGGCCAAGCGACGTATGCTCGAGCCTCTGACCTCTGTTTTAAGAGAAGGTTTTAGAAAACGAGGGCAGAGAGAGATTTTTGAAAGAGACGTTATATAAGCAAGTAAGAGAGAAATAACAATGGCGCACAATATATAACCTTGGGTAGGGAGAAGTT